TGAGGAGCGAGCGCCAGAGAGAGACGGAGGGATCTTGCGGTTGCTCGTTATAGCGGTTCCTGGGTCGCGGGGAATTTTTTTTTTTTTCTCCCATCGCTTCTTTGGTCGATTATTTTGGGAGGTCGAACAAGGACCGGTATGCTCGGGATAACGTTTCGGGAAAGAGTCCCCGGGTACGCTTCTCGGCGATTCGCCGATGCGCTCCTTCTCACCTGCCGCCAAACGAGCTCCTCCTCTCGCTGCCAGATTTAAAAGCGCGGTATTTAACGGAGACGGCAGCCGTCGTGTCCGTCGACGCCTCGGAGCTGCATGCCGCGCGGATTGCGAAACTCCGACTCCGCTCTTCTCGGGGGGGACGTGGGAGGCTTTCTCGGGATACCCGACCCACCTAGGGACACCTCCCTATGGAGGACTAGAAAAGAAGAAACCTTGTGCGGACCTCGATGGGGTCCCGGCTCCCGGGGCGGTCCCCGCATTTTTCTCGCGAGAATCGGGACCCGGGGAGAAAAGGAGAGAGCGAGGAGAGCACCTACGTAGACTTTCCTCCCGGCGTCTAATAAAATATCGGGATTCGGGCGGGCGGCCAGAGGACCCTAGTTTTTCTCGGCTCAAGGCCTCGCGTCGCAGCCGTGACGAAACGATTTCGCGACCTCTCCGCCCTGTGCCCTCGTCCTCCCCCCGCGGGTCGAGCCACCTCGCGTCGACGCGCACCCCCGCGAGCAGAAGGTGGGGACAGGGGAACGCCGATCGCGGGCGCGACTCTTCCGATGACAGGGCGACGGGCAACGCGATGAAATAGAGAGCGCAGATGGCGCTGCGCGAGCGGGCGGACGGCGTCTCCGTCTGGTGGCCTACTTCGGAACCGCCTGGCCGCGACGCCACCGGTAAAACAGGGGACGCCGCTCGCGCGGGCGGTCCGCGCTATTTTTGGCAGGATTGCGAGAAACGCAGATGTCGACCACGTGCCGCGTCCGCGGCGTGATAAACAGCCGGGGATTGGAATAAATCTGACGAAAGAGCCGACCCCGCGGTGCAGCGCGCATCCGCGCTCGTGGCGCGGGTTGAACGTCCTGGAGTAAATCCGGCGCGAGTCGTGGGCCGTTTTCGAGAATTTTCGAGCTCCTCCCTGGCGGTGATTCCACCACGTCGGGACCGGAATTGGATCGCGCGAGGTACGAAGGGCGGTCTTCTATTTTTCTGCCCTAGATTTCTGGGATCTGTCGCGAAATGGGAGGTGAACGCGGGAGTGGGTAAGGTGCCGCGGGCCGGTAGAGGGTTAGGCGCGTCGCCGAGAGATGGCGGCACGGCCGGCCGGCGAGGTGCGCCTGACATTGCGGCACCGCGATGAAGGGCAGCCCGCGCTCCTTCGGGGGGATTTCGAAGGCGCATCCGAAACTCCTTGTCCGACATGCTCGGGAGAGCTTCCGGTAAGCCTTGGAATCCGTACATGTGACATCCTCTGACGTAACGCCGCTTCTGGGTGGCCCCTCCGATGCCGGGGCAAACGCGCGCGGCTCGGGTAGTACGCCGCCCGGTCGGTCGATACGCGGCGTCCCTGATTGGCCGAGAACGGGCCAATCGGATTCGGGGATTCTCCTGGAGAAGGGCCGGGTAAAGAAAATACCCTAATTTACGTACCTTTTTCTCAGGTGAATTATCGGATACCTTGCGTCACGAGTCTTGCGCGGAACGTAAACTAATTTTTTTATCCCCGCCGCCGGGCGTAAACGGCGTGGCACGAGTCCGCCGGCGGCCGTTACCTAATTAGAATTTCGACCGCGTGGGGTGATCGACGAGCTCGTCCGAGGAATGACGTCGGCGTTGACGGCATCCCCGAGGATTTCGCGGAACGTCCCGTCACACCCGGGGCGACGGTCGTGACGAAACCCCTCGACGGCCGGATGGAAATAGCGACGAGAGACGTCGCCGTCGATATTCCGCGCCGCGGACGATCTCGAGACGACCTCTCAGCTTTCTCCCGAAAGATTAGTCACGAAACTTCGGGGCATCCCTCGAGATTCCTGGATACCCCGGCTACCCGGAAAAGCCCTCGTCGAATTATATTTCTATGGTTTTATTTTTTCTTCCTGATTATTTTTTTTATCGGGCTATGATATTTCATTGATAACCGAATCGTATTCCTGCCGGGGGGATTCCGCGCCCTGGGAAATCATCGTTTAATCGGTGTACCCCCTCGACGCGGCGACCGATCCTCTCCAGTCGAGACCCTCGACGTTGACGAGGGACCTGCCGGGATCAGCCACCGGAAGTGGATCGGGAACGTTCCAGCTTTTCCGCGGAAACCGGGGATATTTCTCCCGGGACCCGGGAGAGCCCCCGGAGGTCCTGCTCCCGGTTGATTGGCGTCAAGAGTCGTCGACGGAATCCCGCGAGATCCTCGGTGTCCCCGTATCGAAGAGGCGATAAGTCGTCTCGGTAATCCTCCTTGTTCGTAACAACCGGCTCCAGCTGTGTCGATGATCGCTTTTATCGGCTAAAGATAGAGACGCCCACGCGAGGCGAATCTGGCTCGACGAGTGCGGCTTTCGTCGTATTTCGAAAATATACCGGCGGGTCACCTCGACATTTTCGGACGGATCTAGGAGAAAGAAAATTTATCGCCGGGATATCTAGGCGCGGATCGATCCCTAAGGCTCTTCGCGATAGGCGATATTTTCGATGATCGATCCGACCGATCGAGCGCCGATTAAAGTCCCCGATTAGAGATCTCGGGTCTCCCTCGATATCTCGGATTAATTACCGCCGGATCATTGGCGGAGAAATTTCGAAATTTCGGGGCGTACAAACAAGTGTCTCGTGTTTTGGGAGACGTATCGCGGTATCGGGGGGCGAAAGATAAAAGAAAAATCTGTGGGTGATCGCTCTTCGAACGATCGTGGATTTCGACTCGGCCGAACGATTTGTCCCTCGGCTGCGATTCCGATGGCCTTACTTTTTGTACTTTTCTATTCTTGCCGAATTGCGTAACTGGCGGTTTGCAAAGGGGGGAACAATTAAGCCTGGCAACGATGCAGACGATCGTAAGTGGGGTAAGACTCGTTTATGCGCGCGAGATGAATTGTCGGGGAGGCAATTAGCGCAACTGCTGCAAACCGTAATCGTGCCTCCAGATATACACGGTGCAACGAGATAATGGCTTTTCCCGGCTGTTGTTGCTCGCCATTGGCGGCTTAACGTTTTCCTTTTTTCGCCTTATTTCCCCCCCGGGCAAAAAAGCGCATCCTCCGCCGCGCCGGTGCATCCGGAGATGCACTTTGCATCGAGACTAACAAGACCCCGTTCAGCCGAGCCGCTCGTCACGATTTCTGTTTGATTTCAAAGCGAGAGGGAGACTCGCTAGCATCCGGCGTTTTACCTCATAACTTAAAATAGAAGTAAAACAAAACTCCTTGTGTCCCGGGAATTTATAAAAGAGAGGTTTCCGCGAGCCGCCCGCCTTATCGGTGCACCCAAAGTGAGGTCAGCCGATACGCAATTTCGCCGGCGGATCATCGACCAATCGCGAATAACTCCGGTTACGATACGTCCAGAGACGTTTCTCCTATTCGATGCAAAACTTGGCGGAAGTGCGCGCGGGTCGCGATCCCGTGACCAAATCGGACCATTTAACTGCGCCATATCGATGCGGGAGTTTGTCTAAGGGCGATACGAGGCGAAAAAAAATTTTTAAGAGGTCGGGAAAATCGCGAGACTTGGTCCGATTCGTTGCTAAATCACGCGGAACTGCGCAGAAGCCTCAGACCCACGTGGCCTAATCGGCGCACCTAGGAGCGCCTTATCACTGGCGGAGCATAAGGTCGTCGGTACGCGGCGATACGCGAATTCCCCTCGTAAGCACCGACAAACGGAAGCTCCCCGAGGGAGGGCACGACTCGATAGCCCGAAGTGGTGCCATAAAGTGCACTCCGAGCTCGATTGGTCGATTAGGCCCGCGTCGACCGCGAGGTTACCGCGCGATCGCGAAATTCGGCCTTCCAGTCCGCCCCTTCGACAGGAAGGGTCCCCGATTCGTTTTTTTTCTCAATTATTTTTTTTTTTAATCCGTTAATTTTCCTCGGTGGATAATAATTCCGCCCGAGGTGGCGGAACGACCCGGTCGTCCGCCGCGACGCCTCGCGACGCGCTTGACATTTTATTGGCCGATTGGGCGCCGAGGAGGAAAATCCGACGGAAGGTCGCCGCGCGACCCCCGTACCTCTTTCCTTCCTTTTTTCCAATTTTTTCCCCGGATTTTTTTCTATCAACCTCCCTCGCCCAGAAGCGGGCTCGATAAAGGACCGAAAGGTCTTGGGCGGTATCGCGGGAACGTTTGTATTTTCTCTCGAGATATTTATTTATTTATTTTTAAGAATAAGCGAAAACATTAATTGACGTCCACGTTATACGATAGATCGCTCCGAGACCAGAGGCCGTCTTCCTTCCCGGAGACGTCGCGCTCGTGCACGCGCGTATAACGGGCGTTATCTCCGCTCGCTGGCTAAATATAACCGTCGCTAACGCGCCGTTTAAACACGGCTTGATATTAGTTGGGCCTCGGCTCGGTTGCCGCGTCTCGAGAGCGAACTCGGCCCCGGGGTCCTCCGGTCCGCGGCCCGATTCGTCGACGAAAACGAATGGCCCTAGCCGGAGCCGAATAAATCGGACCGTTCTCCGTTTTAACCTCCTCGTCTCGCTTCCACCCCGCGGGTCCGCGCTCGAGCGCGTCACCGCTGCGAGCGCGGAAATCGATCGGCGATTATTATTAATCCCTGTCTAATTTTAATGGGGGCCGTCTTTTTACAACGGGGAATCGATGTCGGCCTTCCGCCCGAGAGGGCGCCGAGAGGGCGCCGAGAGGAGTCCTCTCGACCTTTTCGAGAGCGAATGGTCAAAGGGGCCGACGAGACGCGGTCGCGCCTCGTCCACGCGACGCCACGCCAAGCGACGCCGCGACGCGCGAGGGCCGGCCGCGTGCTCAGTATCGGCTCGGACGCCGAGACACGCGGATCGGGTGGTGCCCTCGCTTCCTGGGTCGGATCCACTGGGAAGGTCTCGAGATACCTCGTTTTTCGGGATAGTCGCGACGAGTTCTCGGGTCGCATTTTACGAGACCTCGCTTCCCGAGGCGGCGTCGACGAATCCCTCGTGTCTCTCGAGAGCGGATTTCTCGTTTTCGTCGGATTCCCCGCGTTCTCGAACTCGGTGGGCTCAGGTGTAGCGCATTCTCCGAGACCCAAAGAAGGGATCCGGAGGGTCCCTCGGGGCAAAGCGTGGGAGCGAGGGTCGCGGGGCCGAGCGGGAGGGAGGCGGCGAACAATGGCCGGAACGCGCAGCCGGCGGTGACTCGACGTCGGAAGTCGGCCGGACAGCGTCGGGACGCGCGGCCCAGATCTCCGCTACTTGGAATCGCTCGGGGATCCGACGTATCTCGCTCTCCGAGAACCCGAAGACGATCGGCGGGGATTTTCCGCCGTCGGCTCGGAGTATCCCGACGCTCCGCAGGTGGTCGTTGGAGAGGAAAAAGGGGATCGTTTGTAGAAATTGTTTTAAAAAAAATTCGAGCCCTCCCCTCGGCGCCCACGTGGACGCTCCCCGCCCCGCCCGCGAGCGGAATGCGCAGGGCCGACTCGGAAGCGGACGCGAGCGGTGACACCTGCTGGGCGGACCTTGGGGCAGGTCGTGCGCGCGGCCTAGGTCAGGGTCAAGGCCGCGGGCATGGCGCCCGCCAACGTGCTGGACTGGTCGGAGCCCTGCCAGCGACTCCGATACCCTAGGCTCTACCCTTCCGCGAAACTCGCCCCTCCCGCTCCCGACGCCGACGCCGGCGTCGCCAAGGGCGCCGACACCGCCTACAAGAAGATCTGCAAGTTCCTCAGGGCGCTGCGCTCGCGGAAACGTGAGTTTCGTCCGGGGGCCTCTTTGTTCGAGCGAAGAACCGATTTGAAAGCTCCTCGGTTGACTTTCCTTTTCTTTTCTTTTTATCGAGGGTTTTCTCATTTTTATCAGCGACTGCGAGCCGAGGGGGACCGACGCGGTCGAGGAACGGAGGACGCGCGATATTTTCGGAGGGGTTCCGAAAGGCGTAAAAATGGAAAGGATCGTTACGGCGAATCGATGCGTGGGCGAAGAGGGACAGTCGATAAGACCCCGAGGTTAACGATCGCTCGGATTTACCGTTTCGTCGGGGATCTGGCAGAGATTCGGATATTCTTGACCCGTTTCTCTCACCTGGGGGGAGCCGCCTCGTCGCCGCGTCGGTCGCGCCTACTTTTGGCTACCGTTACGGCAAGTCGCACCGTTAGACGAGGGACCCTCCTCTTCGTCGTCCTTAATTCCATTTCGTGCCAATTCCGTATTTCTGCTAATTAAGGGAACGTAAATAAAAAAAGGGGATGCGGGTTTTATTTTTTTTTCTTCCGCATCCGCAACGGCGAATTATCGGGAGAGAGGCGTCGCTTCGGGGTCTCCTTCGGGATGTAGGACGAGGGGACCACTCGGCCTCCTCGAGAGGGCCTTCGTTCTCTCCCCTGCTATTTCGGGACGAGATCCCCCGGTATATGCGATCGCCTCGCTCGGGCCCTTTCAACTGTCCGAGGTCGGGCGCCGGTCGGGCATGGTCTCGGATGAAAAGGAGAAAGCCCGAGAGTCCGCTGGGAAGGGCCGCGGAAAATGCAAAGGGAGAGCCGTGGACCAGCCGGGATCGTCGGATGAAGGGAGCCGCGAGGACCTCGCGGCCGAACCGCGCCGTCTCCTCCGCCAGTCAGCCCGGTACGGAATCGCGCGGCTCGATTCGCTATAAGTACCAAGAGAACGATATCCTCCTAACCTCTTTAAATCATCGATGCCGAAAATTCCTTTAAAAAACTTCCTTTTTACGGAAAGGGTCATGGAATTCGCGCTCGTCCTTGCGCTCCTAAAAATCCCCATAATTTCGATTTTATTCCAAATCATGGAAAATTTCTGAGATGGAGGCTAGGTTCGTTTGGATGTATTAAAGTCTATGGTTTTTTTTTTAATGCCGGGCGTTTGGGATTTCGCGTTTGTGCCCGCGTATTTTTAATATTTCGATAAAGGGTGGAAAGCTCGAGAGGGGTTTCCGGCCACCCATCCGGACGTCGGCCGCGGTGGGCGCTTGACCTCGGCGAAAAAGCTTCTTGCGCTTATTAAATTCTCAGAGTGGGTCGTGGTCAAGTTTTATGCGCCTTCGTAGTTCTTCGGAGGACCTCGGAAAGGCCGGAAGGAGGCTTTCCAGGCCCCAAATCCGAGATGAACGGGTAATCTCGAAACTCGCTTAGGTCTTCCTTGGCCCTCGTCGAAAGCCTCGTGCAATTTTTTTACCGGCCATTTTTCACGAAATGTTTGTTTTCTTTCTCGGGGGAGAAAATTCCCCTTACGACAACAGGCGTTATGCAACCTCGGCGTCTGCTCCGCATAACGTTTCGCTAAGTGGAATAAATTATTCCCCCGCCACGGGGGAGGGGGGGTTTATTGGCCTTAAATCGAGGAATGTTAATTCATTCAAACGCTAGCGATACGTATACAGAGCGCAGAATACTTTTCTCCGCGTTCACGGAACGAGGTTATTTAAATCCGGAACGAGAATTGAGGGGGGAGATAAATTGTTGAATTAATTAAAAATACGGGACGCGGTTATTGCCGGGAAACATGCGATTCGTGGAAACGGTTTCTTGACTTACCGCAAGTGTTGCATTAAGTGTCGATCAATTCGTTCTAGCTGAGAAGTGCATAAGACGATATTAAAAAAAAAAATAAAACTATGTTTAATAGAATATCATCGTTGATGAAGAGTCGGGGAAAGGGAATCGATTTCGAGTCGATCGCGGGGTCCCTTCAAAAGAGCCGCGGGTATTTAAAGAGCGAATTTCGCGTCAGCGTACATAATCGTCCGCGGCGCGGAAGTTCGACAAGTTCGAGATCGCGGCTCCGCATTCGCGCCTATTAGCAGGGAAAACAAACGATGGATCGTTCTATTTCCAGGCCCGGTGCATGTGCCGCACCCATGCCAAAATAGCCGGCGCTATTTCCACCTTAGACCCGAGGGCGGCCAACTCGCGCGCGGCCGAAATCGCGCGAGTTTGCTCGCGCTAGACCGGCGTAAAAGTCGCTCGTAAAGGTGCCCGATTAACGTCGAATGCCGTGGTCACTCGTCTTCGGGTTACGAGGGACTCGCTCGCAGTTTGTTTTGGCATTCGACGCGTTAAGAGGCGGTCGGAGCCAAAGTCGAGCCAAGTCAAAGTCTAGAGTCGAATCGAGCCGAACGCGCGCGGTCTCGCTCCGGAATTTTTCCACCATTTTCGGGGGACTTTTCCCGTCACTGGAAAATTTTCCAGGACTTGCGTATGGAAGATATCCTTCGTAGAATTACTCGATGCCACTTTGGAGCCCATGGCGGGGAGAAAGAGTCTCGAGGTAGCTCCCGAATTGACTTTGAACCGCTCTAAGCGCGGTTTCCGCCGACACGGCCGTTTGCGTCCGCGAGACCTCGTTTATGAAAAATCCCGAGGATCTCTAATCGCGTCCGCAAACATCCTGCCTAACGTCATTTGGCGCTTCGCGGAACGGCTCGACCGAGTCACTCGTTCCTCGAAACCCCCGATGCACCTCGGCGGTCTTGCATCGGGCCAATTTCGCAGGTAATCCGATATTCTACGGAATCTCCGAGGCGGCCGGTAAAATCGAATATTCTTTCCCCCCTCTCGCTTTGGGGGGCGTTTAACCCCGAGAGTCCTTGTTCCGCTCGAAGTGGAACGCGCGCATCCTCGTTTTACTTTTATATAACCCGAACGGAATGCACGCACGCCGATGCACTTTCGTGCACTTCCCTCCTCCCCGGAGAAAGTCCGGTGCTTCGTTTTCCTCCATTTATTTTCCCCGGATTTTCATTCATTTTTTTTTTTTCCATTTTCCACCTGAAATTACGCAGAGGTGGGGTGGTCGATCTCGAATACACGGGTCGAAGGAGACGCGGGATCTCTCGAAGACGCGCGAGGGCGTCCTTCCGAAACGAGGAAAGGGGGAAAAGTTTGCTCCGGACTCTGCGTAATTTCTTGGCCGATCCTTGAATCAGTTGTCCCGGTTTATCAGTCCCTGGGCGAGATCGCGCTCCCTTCTGTTACTTTCGCCGTGCTGTAGCCCTCTGGTGTTTCGATTGTTTCTATGGGTGGTGCAATGTACAATGCAGGCAAGGATGGCAGCAAAGTGACGACAGTGGTGGCCACTCCCGGAGCCGGTCCTGACCGTCCTCAAGAAGTCTCCTACACCGACACCAAGGTAATCGGCAATGGCAGCTTCGGGGTCGTCTACCAGGCCAAACTCTGCGACACTGGCGAGCTGGTCGCCATCAAGAAGGTCCTCCAAGACAAGCGGTTCAAAGTGAGTGGACAACCCGATCGAGGTCCTCGCGTCATTTGTGGACGTCGCTCGCTCCTGGAAAATCAGAGTCCTGACCCGTTGTTTCTCCTTCCAGAACAGGGAACTGCAGATCATGCGACGCCTCGAGCATTGCAACATCGTCAGACTCAAATACTTCTTCTACTCCAGCGGTGATCAGGTAATCGATCCCTTCCCATAGTTTTCCCGCGACGGACGTTGCCGATCTCGAGAGCGTCCTCGTTCTCGTCCTTATATATATATTTTTTTTTTTTTTACGAGAAGGCCCGGAGAACCTCGTCGACGGATAATCTCGTCGAGCCGCGACGTTCGGTCCGGAGAACTTCCGTCGACGAGGTGTACCGATTGTGTACAAACGGTGTACGACGCCTTTCTCGGCCCCGAGCTCGACCGCGTAATGCGCGATACCCTAAGCCCCTTTTCTTTTTCATTTTTTTTTTCTCTCTCTCTCTATATAATCCTCATGGTTCCCTGCCATGGCCTTTATACATTTATAATCCCCCGAGGACGTCGGGGGTAATTCAGGGAATGTTCCGTGTCTTTCGTTGTTCGCACCCTTTCTCGGGGAGGTTTGCGTAATTTTCCCGACTTCCGCTAATGTCCGCTAATTTCCCGGGAAAATCGAGGGAATCTCCCGATCAGCCCCACTCGGGGGCCGGGATAGTTTGGAGGGCTCAGGGTTAGGATCAGTGGTATCTGGTTTACTTTAATGCATGCCACGTTGTTATGTTATGTTTTGTAGAACATCTTAAACGCGACTAATCCGGTCTTTCACGTGGACGTAAGTTGGAGCGCACCCAGTAGTTCGAAGATGTATTCCTGTTTTCTCTGGCGTTCTTTTTTTTTTCTCGTTTTTTTTTCTTCCGCCTCTTCGTCACCTTTCCGACGAGTCGGTATAGGCAAACCAAAGCTTCCACGCGCGTAGAGAGAGAAAGAGAGAGAGTGTGTGCACACGCTCGAGGGAGGTACGATCGTCCCTCGGTATGTCGCGCCTTTATTCGGGAAATTTTTCTCTTCCCGATGAGTTTATTCGACCGTGTTGCGTCCGCTCGGGGGTCGCGAATTTCATTCGATTCGCCGAGGACATCCCGAGGTGCAGGCCGCCCTCGACCCATTCGCATCATCCTGAAAAGGCACGATTGATCCTGGGGTTCCTCACCGATATAAATATCGAGAGACCCGCCATTCGGGCGTGGGAGGACGGGGAAAGAGACCGAAAGGCGGGGTTGATTTTCCCCATAATTGGAGGAGAATTAATAACGCCTGCCCCCCCTTCCCTCCCACGGGATTCCAGGATACTTGGAAACGTATCATCGCCCCAGTGGGTCGGGGTCAGGCTGCTTTTGTAGGTTTAATGTCGTTTGGAGAGACACTTTGCGTGCGTGAGGAGGACTTAATTTTGGACCTAGGAGCTAACGCCGCTTCGCTAGTCATAGAGGCCAAACTCTTTTGGCATTGTTATTTTTTTTCCTTTTCTTTTTCCTCGAGACCCAGCGAGACCGCGCACCGCGGGCACGTTGCCGCTTATTTTCTTGTGATGTATGTGCGTCGACGTCGCGTGCCGATTTTATATTTTCCTGTATGTAAATATTTCTTTTTTTCTTTTTGTCATTCCATTTTGGGCGGCCCACTTTTATTTCCCGATTTTCCGTGCCCTCGGGTCGCGGGGGGTCACCGGGTCCCCCTGACGGGGGGCCTCGACCGCGCTCCCGAAAATTTCACTCGGGTCTGGTCTCTTTGTAGAAGGACGAGGTTTATCTCAATCTAGTCCTGGAATACATCCCCGAAACTGTGTACAAAGTTGCCCGACACTACAGCAAGAGCAAACAGACGATACCGATCAGCTTCATCAAGGTGAGTTTACCTTTCCTCGTTACCTGTACGCGATTCCGAGTAACTCGTATTGATATTTAGGTGTTGTTCTTTTTTTATATGGTAATTGCCATGCGAGATCATTTCGCTTCGTGCCGTAGAGACCGAGCAAATTTTGAAATACAACTTTGCGATGGAAATTTACATTTAATTTTCGAAGGTTGTCCGATGTCAATTAATGGGCGATTTCCTTCGTTTCCAGCTGTACATGTACCAGCTGTTCCGCTCGTTATCGTACATCCACTCGCTGGCGATCTGCCACCGAGACATCAAACCGCAGAACCTGCTTCTGGACCCGGAGACCGGCGTGCTCAAGCTCTGCGACTTCGGCTCGGCCAAACACCTTGTCAAAGGAGAGCCTAATGTGTCTTACATATGCAGTCGTTATTATCGCGCGCCCGAGCTGATATTCGGTGCTATCGATTATACCACGAAGATCGGTGAGTGGGTGGATACGTTAAATGAAAAAAACTTGGTTGACTCAAAGCTTGCAATTATATATGATGCTCGATATAATTCTTGCAGACGTGTGGAGCGCAGGTTGCGTCCTGGCGGAGCTTCTCCTCGGGCAGCCGATCTTCCCGGGCGACAGCGGCGTCGACCAGCTGGTGGAGATCATCAAGGTCCTGGGCACGCCGACCCGCGACCAGATCCGCGAGATGAACCCGAACTACACCGAGTTCAAGTTCCCGCAGATCAAGTCGCACCCCTGGCAAAAGGTGGGCCCGAATTTCGCGGCTCGGTCGGGGATCCGCCCCGACGTCGGAGACCGATCGATCGACCCCGGAACGTCCCCAAATCTTCCAATTATCCCCTAACCCGAATCCGACGTCGAATCCCAAGTAAATCGATCCCGATCGCGCCTCGTCGCGAACGAGGCGGGCGAAACGTCGGCCTCATCCCGGAAACCCGTCACCACCCCCCACAAACGTGCCAGGCTCCCCCTAGACGTTAATTCATCAACGACACGTACTCGTGGTTGCAGCTTATGCTTCAGCGAATGAGCGCGCCAATGCGTTCGACGGAGCACCGAAAGATCAGAGTAAGTGAGACCTCTCTTGGAACGCCTTGCAATACCATTATACACTAGCGGCTGCCGCCGGATTTTGTCTCCGTTGTCTTGTCGGCACGGACTAACACCTTGGCGAGAGAGTAACTCCAGGCTCCTCGGAGGGCTACGAGCGAAGAGCGACCTGCTGCTAACATAACTAACCGGGTTCCGGATGTGCGGTGTCTTGCGATTACTCAAAGTACCGGGAGCAGCATCACTTACTCTGATCTTGGAGCGAAGAGAGGGATGTCCCTCTCCCAGGTAGCCCCCGCGACCCTCGGTCGGTCTCGAGGAGCTAGACGATAGAGACGGCGTCCTACCCCCTCGAGACGGCGTCCTCGAGCCGCACCCCCGCAAACTCGCCCGAGCGACGAGAACCGGAGCGAGAGAAACGCTTTTCGATTCGATCTTTCCTGCTCTTCCAGGTGTTCAGGGCACGCACGCCCCCCGAGGCGATGGACCTGGTGGCCCGGCTGTTGGAGTACACGCCCTCCCTGCGAATAGCGCCTCTTCAGGCTTGCGCCAGCCCCTTCTTCGACGAGCTCCGGGAGCCGGGGACCCGGTTGCCGAACAACCGGGAGCTGCCGCCGTTGTTCAACTTCACCGAGCAGGAGCGACGGGTCTCCCCGGGTCTGATATCCCGGCTGATCCCGAAGCACGTCAAGAGCACCGAGAGCACCGGGGCCGGCCAGTCGGAGGCGACGAGCGCGGCCGCGGGCGCCAGCGGCAACTCCAACGACAGCGCCGTCAGCACGACCACCCCCACCACCACGCAGAACGCGGACCCCAGCCAGTCGACCATGGCTTAAGCTTCTTTACTTTGTTAACGTCATCGGAAGAGAGAAAGAGAGAGAGACCTCGAGGAGGCGGGAGAGGTAGGGCTAGGAAAAGAGTGGGCTGACGGGGGGAGGGTGGAGAGAGAGGCAGGAGAACTCGACCCAGAAGACCGGGGCAACGAGAGCGCGTTCGAGCTTCCTGGAGGAGGATCGTGTCCCGTTGTAAATTGAACTCAAATGTACCGGGGACGCGAGCGAGGGAGCAACCCTCGAAGCCCGGGGGCCCGGACTCGCCGGAAACCCGCGGTCCAGGGCCGACTTCCTCGGGGGTGAGACCGGAGGACCGCGATGAGGCGGCTCCCTCGGCGGTCGCGTCCTCGACTCTTGAATTCAGTGTATATATAGGAGAACTTGGCTCGAAAGCCTCCTTGGAAATGGGCGACGCCTCCTTGGAGGCGGCGACGCTGGTTGACGGGGAGAGACGGTGGGGGAGGAGGGGGGTAGGGGAGGGCAGGAAAATGTATAATCTAATGTTTAGTAGCGTTACGTCGCTTCCGTCGTCTTTTTATTAAGTCACTACGAAGCTAGCTTCTGAGAGAGAGAAAGAGAGAAAGTGTGAGCGCGTGAGGGGGGGAGAGAGGGCGTGTCAGGGTGCGTGAGTCTGTGTGCGCGGGTTGGGGGGACGCGGCCGGGGTAGGGGGTGCCGGAGGTTGGCAGGAAATGGACGGGGAACCGAGATTCGAGGGTGCCGGTCGACGATCCGCCCGACGAGCGGGGACGGTCGGTCGCGACGCGATCAGCTGATTTTGACGCGGTACCACGTGGTCGGTCAACCACGTGGTCAGCCGGCGGCCGCGCCCTCGGGCTGAAAGGACCTCGACCCTCTTCCTCGGCGACGCGCGACGCCCAGGATCGTTTCATGGGAGAGTTGGCTCGAGGATACCCGAGGAGTTGATTGGTTTTCTATGGTATATCGCGCGGCGCCGAGAATGGGGTCCCGGGGAACGACCAGATTTTTTCTGATGCCGGTTTCGACGGTCGCTCGGTTCGCGGGGCAGAAGACACCTTGGAAAGGCGGTCAATGGAGGGCTCTTCGAGAAAGGGGAGGTTTCGATCGAGGGGAGCCGTGACGCCGAAGAGACAGCCATATTCGTGCTTATCGGTCACGCCTCGGCTGTTCCCCGCGCGGTCGCCGATAACCGATTACGCCGTCGCCGCGTCACGGTCGCGAGCGCCGCGTCTCGATCCCACGGGGAATAGGAAGAGGGGGGACGCGAGGAGGGAGAGGAAGAAAAAAAAATATAGGAGAAACGGACGAGGAAAACGTAAGGTCCTTTCGTTAGGGTGCGACGAACTTCTGACGCGTAACAGAGGCGATTTATTTTTAAGCGGACCCCGGCGTGGCAAGGACGTCGGGCGAGATCGTTAACACTCGCGAATGCGACGAGAACGACACGAGATATTCCACGCGGATCTATATGTATATACGTACATCTATATACATACATATATATATATACATACACGGACAAAAATCTCTCCTTTTCGAGCGCCACCCGAGCAAGTTACGGCAGCGCGAGCCCAGCGCGCGGAGCCCCCCGGGACGGCCGTACGTGTTTGTATGAATTATTTTGTACATAGATCGCAAGGGACGCTCTCCCAGGGCCCCGCTCGTCGTTTCCACCGTCCGGATGCGGCGGCTCCGCGCGTTCACCACTCCTCGCGACCGGTCGACCACGCGATTGTCCACCGTGCACCTACATATCATTGCAAGGAGGAGCGAGGACGACCCTCGTCGAGAGACGTCCGACCGTGTTTCAGTTCCTTGAGGGGGGTGGGGGGAGAGGAGAGTCGCAGGATTCGAGGTCGTAGAGCGAGAAGAAGGGGAGACGAGAGAGACGACCGTCGCGTGACCCGACGAGAGCGAAATCGCGAGGACTACACAGGAGGGCGTGAGAGCGAGAGGGAGGGAACGAGAGCGTGTGCAAGAGAGAAAGAGAGAGAGAGATCTTAGCGTTCGATTTAGAGTTTTATCGATGTTGATATTTCAATTAAGTTTTTAACGACTACTCTTTTTAAGTAAGACGCCCCGCGTTTAGGTTCGAGCCAAATCACATTAGTTCTGTCCCGCCCTCGAGACGAGCGCCTCGCCGTGGGGGCCTGGATGGGCGTCCACGTCGAGGCGTCCCTCTCCGACGACGATCCCGGATAGATATCGCGTCCTCTCCTCGTCGCCGGCCGCTCCTGACGGGAGCGAGATAGCACTAGGCGGGGGGTAAGCGCGAGAGGCAGGAGGAAGCTCCGGGTATCCGGAATAGGACGACGAAGAGGGAGGATTGGCCGACTCGCCGGGGCTCGTCGCAATTTATTGACTCCAACGTAAAGTATAAGTTATTTATTTTAGGACCGCGCTCCCTCCCGGGAGGTCGGAGGTAGCCCGACGACGACGCGCGGACTCTCTTCGGGGTGCGGGAAAATCGGGTGAGGGTGACCGGGATTTTTAGCCTCCCTCCTCGGTCCCCCGCGATCCCCTCCCGGGGGAACCCCTTGGCGGATCGTCGGCCAGCTCTGTCGTAAACGTTAACCCTTAACACTACTAATCGATAAACAAATTCATTGGTTTAGTTTGGACCCATTCGTCTCGTGTGCCTCTTGTGTATGCGTCTCGAGCGTGCCTCCGCACTCGGTGTTATAGGGAGTGCCGAGCGAAGGAAAAATATATATATACATGAAGGGAAAAAAAATGAAATAAACGAGAGAGAAAAAGAACCAGGCCGTCTTATCATCGAGCCAGTCGTTGTCCCGGGGACTCGATTTTTGTCGGCCCTCTTCGGGGTCGGGTCCGGTCGACGTAGCATCCCTTTCGACGGCCCCGTAGATTCATGGGGTGTACGCCCCTCGAGCACTCCGGCACGCGCGACGGGGAACCGCGATGTGGGGGAAGAGATCCCGTGTAAAATACTGAAAGTCTATATATATAANATATATATATATGCAAATTAATTTTAATAATAGCAATTAACGATAACGTCGCTACTGTTGTGTAAAGAGACGAGAGAGAGGGAGAGAGTGAACGAAAGAGAGAGAGAGAGAGATAGAGAGACAGAGCTTTGTGAATTAGAGCAAAATTATGACTCTCGAGTAACTATATCCTCACGTGCATGGCGTTTTCATCACTCGCGATCGCTAATTGAAAGATATTAATCCTATCGGACGATTCTATCACCGCCTTTTTCCTTCATCTTGCGTCGCTCTCTTGACACTTCGTATCCACCTAAGTCAGACCACGCGGAGGAGGGGACCGAAGACGATGACGGTCCGACCTTGCGATCGACGTTACTGGCGCGTCCGATATGTTAACCCCTGACGAATACAGAGAAAGAGAGAGAGAGAGGGGGCGGAAGAATTGAGATTTATCGATGGGTCAATGTTTCACTGGCAATTAGACTAAGCCGCGCCGATCGTCGGGGTCTTACTCCTGTCCTCGCGGCGTTCGAGCTACTCGATAGAGCGCGGTTCGGTATACCTAAGCGTACAAGCTGCACGCATTCGTCCACACCCACGTAATTACCCGCATGTAATTAGAGAGGTACTCGGTGGCGACGCGAAAGTCTCTCTTAGCGTTAGGCTGCGACCTTAGGGACTCCGGGGGCTGAGGGGAAATCATCCGGGAACGTCGATTTACCCGGTCATCGACGACAAGGTTAATGATTTGCTAATGTAGAAGCCGAGTCGACCGTCCAGCTGGTCCATCGCCTAGGACTGACGCGCGGGTCGGTTCATTTTTTTTTTTTCCGCAACACCTAATGCAACGCGTCGATGTCAATTTTTTAATCGAACCTGGACAAGACTGGCAATGGATCGGCCGATCGGTCGACGCGGCGACTTAGTGTGCTAACGTAGCGAATAAATTAATCGGGGCGTGTTGCGCCCATTTTCGCCTCTCCCCGAGAGGTCGGGGCATGTCGGAGGGATTTTGCGAGGTCGAGGGCGACGATGGGCTTCCCTCGGCACGCCCCGAATTATATATTAGAAAATAAAGGAAATTTCGTTGAGGCCGAGGAGGCCGGCCGGCCGGAAGTCGAGGAGGACGCACCTTGTTCCTCGTAACGCGTCGCCGCGCTTTCCGCGGCGGGCTCGATTCCTAAAAACAAATCCGTCGAGATTTTCCGAAGTCTCCCGAAATTTCTCGCGGGCGACTGGACCAAAATCCCCGGAGTAACGGGTCGACAAACTCTGCGAGGTCGACGGCAGAGGTCTCTCGATCGGGCTCTTCGAGTTCCGGCCGACCCTCTCCCTCGCCGAGGTCGGGCCGGGTCGCGTCCGGCCCGCGCCGACGTTAAAGATAATTCATTTCTAGCTCTGGATCGATCCCCACTCGAGTCCTGCTTTAGGGAGGTGGCGGCGACTTAAAGGGCCACCCTTAGGAGAAAAAGGTGTCGCGAGATCGCAGGGACACCGCGAGCTTCCAGGATCACGAGACGATCGGGTCCGCCCGCGACTTTGGGAAGCGTCTCTCGGCGCCGGGGAGACGGCAGGGCTGGTACCCGGGTAAAATAGTTTCTCATATCGAAATTCCATCAAAATGACGGCACTCCCCCTTCTTCTTCTCGGTCACCCCAGCCGGGGGTGATCTCCGCGACCGCCCTTCCGGATTATCCGAGACGCCGATTTCGAGTACACAGGGTTCCCCTAGTTTTTACGGAAATTCCTCGAGATATAAGACTTTATTTTCTTTTTTTTGTCTCTGTACCCCCTTATAATTTAAATCCACGACCAATTCGAAACGAACGACAGTCCTCATTTTGAAGGGAATTGTATGTAGAATTATTTTAAATGGGCTCCGAGCCCTGAGAGACGGAGCTCTTTTATGGAGGTCGTCGCAACCGACGGGAGTTTTTGTCGACCATTGATTTTTAACGGTCGTTTGACGACTATCCGGAGCGTTTCCTCCGTAGGTCGGGAGCTAGGGCGCGATGAAAATGTTACGTGTAAAGTGTTAAGATATAGTCGCCCTATACGACCCTTTAACCCTCGCGCGACATGTGTACATTTCCCACGCAGATTGCTCGTAATTATTAAATTCTTAAAAGTGCTGAACACGACCGTTGATTTCGCCTCCCTCGATTTTCGGTCTCTCGCCGATGGCTTTCTCCGTCGTGTATGTAAAAAGAAATGTAACGTTTCGATGATAACGCGAAAGGAGGGCATTGGCAGATTCCGTTTCGCTTTAATATACGTGCGTCTTCGCCGATGTAATTAATATTACCGCGGATCGTCGTTCGAGGGAGACCGCGATCTCGCAACGTTGTCACGGGTATCGCTCCCGAGTTGCCCTATTTTTTCTTTTTTTTCAATCTCCGTCTTTTTGCATGACACGTTAACAAAGGTCTACCGTCGAATATCGAAGGCGGCAGAAAGCTTTCGACGAGGGATCCCAGAAATTCGGCGGGCTTCGCACGAAAGTGTATAAAAAGATGGGTGACCCTTTCACGAATTACTTCTTATCGATAAACGTAGACCGCATTTATAAAATCACTCGCCTGTACAATTATCGCGATACCCGCGGGAGTCTTTTTTACGTCTCTCTTTCGGTAAGTTTCGGCTAATTTTTCGCTCCGAGGATGCCTCGATAAGAAACGATTTTGACATTTCGCTGAAGAGCCTTTGCGTACCAGGGGTAGATATACGGAATATGACGTGCAATACACGATGGGGGACGCAGAAAATCTCGGCGTCCTTAGGGAGACAATTATTATTGACCCTCCTCGTGAATGACACTTATCTCGAGTATTTTTTAAACGTCTACCCCGTAATCCGTACCGTTCTAGGCAAAGTTAACGTTTTCCCTCGTGGGTAGCACGACACCGCGCTTTTTTCCTCACGCGCACCGAATCCGATTTGTGCTTCGAGTCGACGAAAAGGAATTCTCTCATCCTTCGTATGGAAAAAAGGAAAAAAAAAAAGAAGTAGCGACTTTTAGGCACACTCCGAGGGGTAAAATTAGCTCTTAAAGGGAGAGTCCGGACCCTCGGGCGAATCTCACGCTAGCTGAAGTCGCTGAGCGATTAGCACCCACTGCCTCTGTTTTTTTTTTTTCGACAATTTCGAGATTTCTAACTTAAACGACGTACATAGACCAGGGGGTGAAACTATTATCTTTCCAACCTCCGACAATGGGAGAACTATCGCCCCAAGACCGGAGGTTCGAAACGGAATATCCATTTTCCGTCTAACGTGCCCTAACGTAGACCTTGAAGAACTCTAAGGGAAACTGAAAAAAAAAATAGAAAATTAAGGAAAAACCCAAATGGGGGTTCAAGGGACCTCGGACCCCGACTGGAGGGTTTCCAGGGACGATCCCTCGATATCGCTCGCGAATGTATGATATTAGGGAAATTGTTTAATATATAGGGGAGCGAGAAAGAAGGACCGATGCCCGGAGGAGGAGAAATAGCGAGCAGTCGACCATGGGAGAGGAAGAGCGACGGAGCGGGTGCGGGCATCGAGAAAAAGGGGCATGCGGAACGAAAGCGAGAGAGAACGATAACAATGGGGGGTCGTTTGTTGAAACGAGAACTTAAGGTACGCAGACGTGCGTACGTACCCGAGAAACGAACGCACAGCCTGGACTTTGCGCGGCGAGCACGAGTGCGTACGCTCACGTCCAATTACACTAATTACCCAATGCGACAGTTGTAGCGGATATTATGATCATCGGTGAATAACGATGAATTATCGTCGGTATCGTCGGCTACCACATTCTGCAGATACGGGGAACGAGGAGCAACCGCGGGCTCTTTTCGCGGCCGCGTTTCGTTTCTCCTTCCGATTATTTCTTTGGCCCTGCTTCAAGGGCTCGTCTTTAGTTTTGTACGAAGATAACCGATAAGCCGCTCGTAGGAGATACTAATATGAATGTGTTAATCGCGAATTGACCGGCCCCCTCCCGCGGAGGGGGAGTACTCCATATGACTACCATCATTACTGTACATTTTTGTGGTTTATTTAACAATAAAATATTAACGATAACGTTGAGAAGGGCGTGTGTTCGAGAGGCCGTTGCGAAATTTATGTACGTCGACCCAGTTCCAAAAGTTATCGGTGTACACTCTCTCTCTCTCTCTTTCCTTATTTCCACTTCACGGGCTTATCGAAGCGCAACAAGAAAATAGAGAAACCTGTAAAACGAGAATGCTACGTTACCGATAAAGTTTATGAGCTCTTTGCGCTGGCGAACCTCTTCCTCCAGTCGGGAGAAAGGTTCGAGAGAAGCAAATAAAAAATCCTTTGGTCGCGTTTCGATAGTCAAATCGCTGTAAATCGATTTGTCCTATCGCTGGACAAATCGCGCAATCGTCTCGACGATGCTCGATATCGATAGCGACGGTTCTCGCGCGCTGTTACGTTGGTTTCTATTTTCTTAGTTGATAAAACGCGGAAACTCGTCCATAATTTTTTTTGCAGGTTTCGAGCACTTGAACGGTTCTTTCGAAGATCCACCGTGGACGTCCCGGAGTCTTCTGCCCGCAGAAGTCGAGAGGTACTCTTCAGGGTGCCGTTGAGGATGACCCCCGATAAAACGCGGTCAACCCAGGAGGACCTTCCTTATCATGGCTCCGGATACCATCTCCTCGTCCCCTTCGCGAGGACCGATGCACTTGCTGCTGCAGAGATACTGCAACAACGGGAGGCGATATTTCCCGCAGAAGTCCACGAACTTGACGTGCTCCACCCGGTTGTCGAAGAACACCCCTGCGACAGGAATTTAGTTTAGTTAGGAATCGAGGGCTCTCTCTATCCGTCTTCTAATCGCGTCGCTAACGGCACCGAGGCGCGACTTATCGAACGTTACACATTTGCTCAGCGATTGCTAGTCATGGAAGCGAGATAAAGAGAGCGAGTGAATTTTTCAATTTCCTCTTGTCCGCATGACGCGACAGATACACGAGGAGGATGAATTTCAATCTCTGTTCGCGATAGCGACTTGTAAAAGGAAAATGCCGTAAGAGGCATTTAATGACATGTCCAAAACTCCAGGAAACTCGAGCAGCCGATGCGGACCTTTGCACTTGGGGTTGACGCATCGGTGAGCGCTGTTCAAGTAGTCGATGAGGTTCCTGGGGACGTTGGTCTTGTCGTAGTGGATCTCGTTGGTCTTGACCACCCTCGCCGCGAGTTCCAGCAGGGATGGCGGATTGTGAGTCATGTCCGAGACGAAGCGCACCACCAGGGGGTTATCGCGAAGAGAGAGCTGAATTTACAACAGGCGAAAAGATTGCAATTAACGTCACCATTAATTACAACCGAATTTCAGCGACCCAAGAGTTATTTGACTCCACGAGAAACGAACCTCGGTGAGGCACTTTAGCGTGATAATCTCCGTGGGCAGCGTTCTCAAGCAATTTTTGTGCAGCAGGAGGGACTTCAGGTTCTTCAGGTTCGCTATCGAGCTCGGCAGGCTTTCCAGCTTGTTATCGCAGAGCACCAGGGCTTGCAGCGCGGTCAGCAGTCCCACGGTCGAGGGCACCTCCGTCAGTCCGTTACCTCCCATGGACAGTACTTGAAGTCTGTAATGAAGTACGATTAGAAAATAAAAATTCACCCATAAACTGAAATGATCTAAATTTATTGAGTTATCACCCGTCCTGACTCCCTACCTCTGCAGCTTCCACACGTCCTTTGCGATCTCGGTGATGGCGTTGCCACCTAGGTACAGGTATTTCAGACTGGCCAGGTCCAGAACTTGTTCCGGGAACTCGGTCAGCCTGTTTCCGCTGAGGTTCAGTTCCCGCAGGTAAGGCAGGTTCTCCAGGCTCTTCGGCAAGGACTCGTTCCGCAGGTTGTTATTTTTCGCGATCAGGCACATCAGCGGACAATCGCCCAGGTCGTCGGGCAGCCTGGTCAGCCCGCAATTCGACAGGTCCAGGCTGTGCAGGCTGGAGAACCGATTTATACTCGGAGGAAGATGGTCCAAACGGTTCTGGTGAAGCAGAAGAGTCTCGACGTGCTCGGGGTTCTTCGCGCCGAGGAAGTACTCGTTCAGGACGGCTGGATACAGCATCAGATACGACAGGTCCAGGGTCTTCCCTCCACTCGTGTCGGAGTCGCTCGAGTCGGACGTGTAGTTCTCCATCGTGGGCTTTGAAGATGATTTTCCTGCGGACATCGTAGTCGGATAATTCATTCGCCGCAACCTCGAAAAGTGACCCCACGAGGCGCTCCACATTGCCGGGAGTCAAGATCTACTTAACCCCGACTATGACCGATCAACAAGCGCGATCTTATCCGGCGATAATTAAATCCTGAAGCCGAGGGTCAGCTTCCAGCGCGGGTCGCCGGTTCTGCATGTAGCGTTCCGGAGTTACGCGGATGTACCCCATGACGGCGATTCCTTTCCCGAGACCTATCTCTTTTTTCAGAAGTAAAAGAATAAATAAAACACCCCCGATAGATCATTAGATGTGTTTACCAGCATGCTCGCGGATGATACTACTCCGCAGTTGCAAAGCGCGAGGATGATTGGAATGAATGTGAAAAAATGATTACTAAGTTAAGGAGTTTGAAAACATGGCGGTTCGACAATGGAGGAGTTCAACGACCGTCGACGTACCTTGTAATCGCGATTTTGAAACGGAGATCGAGTGGTCCAATCGATCTCTCGAATCGGTCGAGTTCGGCCTCGGGCTGTCCGGAAATCTCGAGTTAACCAGCCGCCGGAAGCCGTGGGCGATCGCGAGTTCGAGGTCGAGATATCGATCACCGATCGAAGCTGCGCTTCATGGTGAGTTCTTCGCTACGTCCGACCGCGTCCGACGACGAACTGAGTCGCGATAGCGGTTTTATCGAAGAATTGTCTGTCTCGTAATCGAGTCTCCCGAGAGCCTGCTAAAGAGGGGCGACTAACCTAACCTGTGACTTCTAACATGCAGCTCGTTCGTGACCGTTCGCTAATAAAAATGAGAAACGGGTGCAGAAAGCATCAAATACACGGAGAAAATTATTGAGGATATTTTTTAACTTGCCAGGGATGTCCGAAAACGTTAAAAAAATTGAAATCCAGGTCGTAGCTTCCGGTAGATCAGGATCGATTGTGCGCGACTTTCGATTTTCACGGTATTTCCCACCGTCGTGGGTCGACCAATCACGGAAGAGCGCTGCTGTCGCCTCCTCCAATCAGGTGCGGTCCTGCTGCTCGTGGTACTATATAGCGCTGATCACTAATCTATGTAGGGAAGTATGTGCGACGCATCCTGTCCAATCCTGTCGGTGAGCATGGGCATTAAAAGCACGTGAAAATAAGGTTTTGGAGAGACAAAGTTCGTGCGACGTTAACTTGAACGAATCGGAAGACGTTCTTCCAAGAAAGGAGCCCTACAAGGAGAACGTATCCAAGCACGCGACGTCCTTGAGGTTAATCCGTGAGCAATCCGCGAGAAATCTTTTGGCTGCAGCTGACTTAACCTCTAAAACCGGTTTTCCGCCGACGAGAGGAACCGGTAAGTGAAGCCATGATAACAACGAGACTATTATTCCGGCACGTTTTGCGTGTTTCTGTACAAAAGAAACGAAATTTCAGTTATAAGTCTGAGTGGACTTTAAGAAAATGTCAAGAAGTACTCTTTTCAAACGTTAACGACGGTGGTGGTATTGCGCACAAAGAGAATTATTTCAATGATGAAAAGTGGAAGGAAATGCGTGAAAAGCTTTATAAGGCTGACAATTTCATCAATGACGATAACATCGACAGTTTGATTATCAGTGTTTGCAATAATCAAAAGAAGCCTGACGTAGCACTGTCATATGTTAAATTTCTAAGGAATAATAATCATAACATGAATTTAGCAACATTGAGAAATTACCTAAAAATATTGATAGCAGTGAGTGATACTATTACTGAAGAAGATAAACGTGAAATCGTAAGTACCTACGATGAAATTCTAAAGAAATCTACGGTTTTGGATGAACGGTCGTTGAGTACGTGCTTACAAGCACTCTGTTTGACCGAAAGGTGGCACGAAGCGGAAAAGCTGTTGAAAGATCTCCCCTCTGATACCTACCATGGACGAGAGTACTCATCATTGGCGTGCGCAGCTTTTTTAAATTCTGAGCCAGAAATTGGTTGGAAATATTTCAATGAGTGTTTAAAAGTTGGAAAAGTTAATTCTCGTGTTTATACCGCATACTTAACATATTGCACGGAAAACCTTAAAGACAAAGAACAACTTGGGAGAGAATTATTGAAAACAATTTCACACTGGGAAAAGTATGACATTGTTCCTCCACTTGTTACCGTGAAGCAATTTATTAAATGTTTTGAACAGTTGGACTGGTCTGCAACGTTTACATCAATAAATGCAAGGTAAGCAATTTTTTTACCATTTTATTGTTTGCATAGATTGTTATTGAATCAAATATACCTATATCTACTGATTCATTTTTTATTTTAACCTTCATGCAGTGGCAAGTGTGAACATTGTAAATACAAATTAAATTCACCACATTTGTCATTGAAGGAGTTCAAAAATCTATCGGAACAAATTATGAATAATATCATCTGTGGTGGAAATGTATTTCTTCGATCAAATGTTGGAGAACCGGATAAATTTAAAAAGTTTGTTGCAAGTTCCAAACCTTATGACATCGTAATAGATGGCCTGAATGTTGCTGGCAACATTAAACAACAATATAAAACTAATTTGAAGGCCCAGATGGTAACTATCTCTGAAATTATTTTTTGATTCCCATTATTTCTGCATTTTATTCATATAGTTTTCTTATTGGTTTTAAATACATTTTGTTATACCTGTATAATTATTTGTAATAAATTTCTTCAGGTAATGGAGGCTGTAAGGTTTTTTAAAAATCAAGGGAAAACCGTCTTAGTACTTGGTCGTAGACACATGTCACGTTGGTCAAAGCAACACATGGATTATATAAGAAAGAATGCATACTTGTTCTTAGCCGATGACTTGTAAGTTAGGAAAATATTTCCATATGTTTTCATCCCAAATTAATGACTATTTAACAACTATTTCGATCTTTGTAATCGAATCTATTTTGGTTTTAGTTCACACGACGATGCGTATCTATTGTATGCTACGATCGTTAATGGTCCGAACACATACTTCTTATCCAACGATCTGATGCGACAGTACAAGGCTCTACTGAGTGACGACGTAAGGAACCTATTTAAAAATTGGCAATTATTGCACCAGTACAAGGTGAATTCATTGACTCGACCAGGTTATGTAAATATAATGAATCCTGGAAAATACTTGAAGAAAGTCTACCAAAGCGACGACTGCTATCACATTCCATTTAGACTCGACGACAAGTACCTCGTACAGGACGACTACGAGATCGAAGAAAACGCTTGGTTATGTGTACGGACAAGAGGAGCGATGAAATCACAATTGCGGGTGGCAGACAATAAAATGCCTTAGTTATGTACAACTATTTATTTACGTCGAATGTTTAATGTATTCAATCGTTAGCTCATTTAACACAATCTATTCACGAGAATCAGATTTCCGACTTTATTTTGGAATCAATATGCTCCTCTCCGTGAAAAGCTATCAAAAGTCACTTTCGATCACTTCTGCTTTTAATCGAGGGTAATCGAGACTGACAGCAAACTTATTCTTCGTGCTCACAGATGGTGCAAGGAGTGGTGCGCGCGCACAGGTGGTCCAGAGGTTCGCGCCACGCCCGCCAGATGACACCGGCGCCGTCGCGCGACGCTCCGCTCGGCAGTCTCTCTCTCTGGTGCAACAGGTGACGACGCGTCGCGACATTTTTCTGCGATTTCCGCCGTCGTACCGCGTGCCGGTGTTTCCTGCGTGCGCGACGCGAGTGTTCCTCAAGAGTGCCGCAAAGTGCATCGAGTGCTCGTCCCCGAGGTGCAGCGAGTCGGCCGGTTCACGTCGATTCGTCCGGCTGTCACCGGGAGACTCCAAGGAGGCCGAGGTCCGCCGATCGGTGAGTTTCTCTTTGAATTCGTCACGTATGTGCGCGCGACGGTCGCACGTGATAGTCGCGCTGGGGTCGCGCGTCCTTTTCAACCGGTCGAGTCTTACCTGCTCGTTGGTGCCAAATTGAACCTCGATTCCAACGTTATCACCTGTCGCTCCGATTCGCACTTTGCCACCGGCGAATCGGCCGCACGCCGCGCCGCGCTTCGGCCGTTACGCGAAACGCGGAAAATCTCTCGATCGACATATTCGAAAAAAGGAGACCCGACCCCGGAATGATGATTTTTCGACGATTTATTGCGTAGAATAAGTGAAGAATAAAATATTGCGTACCTATCCTATTATCCTACCCTAGTAGTTCTAATAATTCCGACCACGCGGAGCTAGGCTCTTGGGGTAGTATACCCATCGCGATAAAGTAATAAAATCTGGGCACCGAGTATCTGCGAAAATGAAGTCGTTTAGCGCAGACTCGATCGCCAGCCGCCATCCGGATCCGTCGTCGGTGATCTCCGATGAATCATTACCTCCGGCCGTTGTAATGCCGTTTTCTCGAGAAATACCGGTTTACTCCTTTCGCAATCGGCCCCCGCGGTCCCCTTTTCGGTAGGCGAGGAGAGAAAAAAGAGAGAAGCGGTTCAAGATCACCCGCGCGGAATCCGGCCGATCGATCGGCCGCGTATTCGGCCCCGCGTCTCGCTTCCGCGAAGACGTGACTCATCTCGATCGGCATCTTCGGCCGAGGATCTCGTTCTCCCCCTTCCTGCCGGAAGTCCCGATTTATTACTCGAGGACTTCCCTAACTCGGTTAAGCTCGAACCCCGAAGCTAGCGATTCAACCAGTCGTGGGAACCATAATAAACCTTTGTTCCTTTCTCAATGTTTGCCGCTGTCGTCGGCCAGGAATTTTTCTTCTCGAAGGAGGAAGAGATTTCGAGAGCGCGTCTTTGGACGAGTCGAGCTCGTTAGAGATTTTTCGAGGGGAATCGGATCGATCTAACGTCGATCGCGCAATCGCGGGTCGCGGCCTCGCGCGTCTCGTTTCGCAAAGTGAACGGCCGGGGCTCGGGTAAAAACCCGTTCCGCCGCGGAAACGCGTGGGCGGCCGCGGCGGAAAAATCGGTACCTACGCTCGCGGCGCGGCCGCGTATTTGGCTCTCGGGTATCTCGGCACCTGGGCGGCCCTGCCTACGGGCCGCGCGGAACGGCCGCAGTGCGGGGCGCGGGCGGCGATCCGGGGAATCGATCGCGAAGGGAGACACCGTAATCTGCCGTGGGTGTCAGACGATGAGTCCGGATGGGACGTACGAGGTTTTCCCGAGGCCTCCTGAATTTTCCGAATTTTTTTCATCGGGAACGTATCGTTGAAAGATTTCTATTTCGTTACGCGCACCTCGGGGAAGGGCTTCGCTGGCCGTGGACCGCGATCTCGTTTACGAGAGAGGATCCGGAATCCTCTCCCGGGAGTTGATCGCTTATCTGGGCGATATAGAGCGGCGTCGAGGTTTAACGAGTCGTGCCGTCGGATCCCTGCCCGTTTAACGAGCTCGCGGTGCCGCGTTTACGGCGGACAATTCCCGAAGTTGCGGAAGCGATCCCGCGCGGGTGCGTGACTCCGCGGAATGCCCATTGACGAGGGAAGGCCGGGCGCGTCGAGGTCGCGGCCGATTTCGTTCTTTTCCCGTCCTCTCTTTCTCCGCTCGCGGAGAGGCTCGCTCTCCGCGGATCGGCCGCCCCGAGAGGTCCGGACTCGCTCGACGGACCGATCGATCGAGAGGGACTTCTCTATTCAACTTCTCCGTCCGTTCTTCGACTCGTCCAAAAGAGTAACGACTGGTTCCCCGTCCGCTATCCGCGGAAACGCGAGACAAGAGTGATTGCGCGCGACTCGAGCACCGTTTGCCTCTCCTTGAGTGGATTTCTCATTTTTTTTTCACCCGCTTTTTTCCCTTCCTCGCAATTTTCGCATTCTTTGCTCCGTGCATTTTATCATCGACTTCTTTGTCCGCGTTTCCGACAAACGCGCCGATAAGGCGAGCGCGCGGAATCGCGAGGAGAGGACCCTCTCTCTCGAGGGTCTCCGTGAAAGGGAGAGATTCCCCTTTTATCCGCGTTTCCGTCTTTTTCCATCGGTCCTTTTTTCTCCGGGCGGGGCTCTTGTCGTTCCTCTTCCCCCTCTCGAGCGTCCTCGTCCCCTCTTTTTGTTTTTTTTTCCCTCGCGAGAATTTTCAAGCTCGCCAGTACCCCATGGGGCAATTAACTGGAAGTGATCGGGGAACAGAGGGAGAAGGGGAAGAACTTTGCCCAGTGAGAGAAGTACGGGGGGTATCCGCGAAGTTTCTTTGGGATTGTTTTTCCTTTTACCTTTTTTCGCTCCTCCCATTTTTTTCCCCCCTACTTTTATTCAAAGTACCGCTCAAGCTTCTTCGGGCCGAGTCTCGCTTCTCTCCTTGTCGCCTCGTCTCCGAGATTTCGCGGAGGCAATTACGCGAAACTTGCGTCAATCCGGATTTAGGCTGCGATTATTTATTTATCTATATTTAGGTTTGTCAGACATTTCCCCCTTTGGCTCGAGAAATTTTTTTTTATCTCAGGGTAGTACCAATATCCGGAATCTCTGCGGCGATAAATTTCGGTGGCTTTTAACTTCTTTTTTTTTTTCTCTCCGTTTTATTTTTCGGAAAGGGCAAGTCGCGGGTTTCTCGGTTTACACGGGTACCGGGGGCGTGGAAAAAGTCGTTCCGATAATTAATCGATTACGTTGCGGTTTAAAGACCCCCACGAGGGAGAAGCATTCGTATCAATTGCTGCGGCTTTATCGAGGCGCAGCATTCGTAAATTCGCTCCTTCGTTTCCAGGACCAGGGGAGGGGGGGTTCTCCCGGTTTCAGGGGAGAAAAAGTCCCTAGGAAAATGGCCGGGCATCATAAAGCGATAAACTGGCGTAATAAAAGTAAGTGGCCGGTCGGGCTGTAACTTGGAGGCGCCGCTGCAAGGGCGATCACCCCAGCCCCCGAAATTTCACCTCGGACATTTTTAATGCACTCTCGTTCAGTCTCATCGATCCCATTCATCGATCGAGGTAATTATCGGAACGACGATTTCGGGGGAGAAAATATTAGCGTTTCTTGAAAAATCTCGGGCTCGTCGCTTCGGAACGCACTTGCGCGTCGCTGCATCGATCGCGTCCACTGTCCAAGGCAATCGGAGCGGGGATTCGCGGAGGATGCACTCGACTCTAGAAATACGCGCCGGGTGACTCATCGAAGAGGGAAATACCCGAGGAGGGCGAGGCACTGCACCCGGGGGGCGATTCGGGCCCATCCGGAGGGAAATCGCGGCCTCGTCGTCGGGCCTGGTCGAACCATTCGAGGTGGAGGCAACGGGCTCCATAAGGGTCGTCTGCGGTGGTCCACGCACCCAAAATCGATCCGGAGGGACCCGGACGGGGCATGGACCTCGGCTGAGGTCTCTTCGTCGTAATTCCTCGCGAACGAAGCACGTTAACCAATTGCGCGAGACGTTAATAGGAAACGTGTAAAAAAAAGAAATATACGATGCATCGCTAGGAACGGGTTAATTAATTAGGGGACGTCGTTCGCGGATATTTTGTTATTTACCCGGGACGCGTAATTAACGAGGCGCACTTGTTTCGCGAGGACTCACCCGGGGCGTCGGGAATTTCGACGACGTCCTCGGGGGTGCACTATAACGCCCTCTTAATTTTACGGCCGCCCGTAATCGCCTCGCGGGGCGGAATTATTATCGCCGGGCGCGAAACTCGCCGCGATCGTCGTTGGCCGGAACTTTGCGAATTACCGGCTGCCCCGGGTGTCTTTATGGCAGTTAGGTTTATTAGCTGTCGTTTCGCAGGGGACTCCGGGACCGAATACGCGAGCCCGCGTCCGTGTACGTAAATTTGTCCGCGTACGGTAAATTCACTTTATCGTTTATTTAGGTGCATCTGTTGTGCGATAAATTAAAATTTAATCGTATCGAATTCATTTATATCGAGCGAAGTAGGCGAAATTCCGTGTTTACGGGAAGAGAGCAGCCGTTCATCCGGAGGGGGTGAAGAGTCAAGGGATGCGAGTTCCAAAGCTTTTGGTATATAGGACCGTGCAGGAAACGAGAAGTTTGTTCGATAGGCGCGTCTCGCCGTACAATTTACGCGCCGCTCCGCCGGGTGCCCAGGTAATCTATACTGCACCGCGTGCACGTCGCGTGCACGCGCACAAGTGCGCTCGTCCCCGCCGGAAAGCCGGGGGCTCTACGTACGGCAGTTGATCGAGCAAACTCCCCGAATTTACCGGACCGTAATTACCGTATCCCGGAATTCTATGGAAATACGCCGTTTGATAATGTCCGAGCGATAACGCGGATTTATCCCGTAAAAATTTGCCCCGATGGTCCCCTTTGGATTCATTGTTTGCGGTTTTTTCGGAGTCGACGGTGTTTTTGGAAAAAAAGGGGAAAGGAATAAATAGGTAGACGCTTCCGGCCCTCCCAGAGGCTCGGGCTGCGCAATAACGAGGGGACGTATCGCCTTGTTGCCCCGCGGCCACGGAATGGCCGTGCGGAATTCGAACAATGTTAATTTCCTCACGGAATTCCGCAGTCCGCACATAACCGAGGATCCGCGAGGGTCCCAAGCGGGCGTTGAGGTTACGCCAAACGTCGGGTCGAAAATTCTCCCGGAGGCGAGCTTTTCCGCCTCTTTTCCAAGCTTTAGCTTGGATCGAATCGAATACGGTGAAATAGAATTTCCCCTGTACGTAGATTTTTTTTTATGAATTTATTTGCGAAATATTTAGGCCCGCGGTTGATTTTGATAGACATCTCTTAGTGATTCGAGTCGAGTTCCGTGCTCGCGCGTTTGCATTCGGCGTACGAGCGAGAGATCCGCTCCGGTTTGGCCGCTGCGGACTAGGCGGTGCACCCCGCCGGGAACCCTTATAGAGGCGGATAACTCGATCGAGTTATCGTAACGTAATTACGTGTCACTTCGGGCGAGCCTCTCGAACTAAATAGTACACCGCCGCACAGGGGTAACGTCGCGATAACGCGATTTCGAACTCATCGCGCGACGAAGAAGGACGGGGCCAGGTCGAGCGAGAAGCCAAGAAGGGAACCCTGAAGGAGCATCCGATACTCCAGCCGGAAACGAAAAGAGGAATAATCTCCAGGAAATAATTCAAATCCGACCGCGTTTCTCAAAATTACCTGGTCTCGTGAGTATCCCTTCTTCCCCGGAATTATCAACATTTTTTTTTTATTACTTTCCCGTAGTAAAAAAAATCCAGAAATTACAATAAAACCCAAGGGAAAGATAGGACCGATAAATAATATAGCACGTTTTGTTAGCGTTGCCTTTGCGATAATTTCCGCTTACCCCCTCCTTCCTTACCTGCAACTAAGTGCTTTCGACGTGCACGCACTTTGCGATATTAGAGCCTTCGACTTAATTTTCCGCACCCATCTCTACCCTGGGAGTAATGCAATCGGTCATCTCCGTTCTTTGGTGAACGTTAAAATGCATAGATAAAGAAATATGTGTACGTACACGTGGAAGATCTGTTTTTTTTTCTTCTTCTTTCCCGGGGCTTTATCGCGGTTACGTGCTTGTCATTTTTCTCGGTAACCGGGTAGTCATTGTTCATCCGCGGAAAAATGCTCTCTCTTTCACCTCTTATCGTCGGGTCCGCGCTTTCTTTGCGAGTTCTCCTCTCTCCCTTTCTCCCTCGCGGTTCGCACTCGCGTTAGCGTTTACGCGAACGCGGCTCAAAGCTCGCGCTATAAGGGGAGCCGGCTCGTTCGAGGAACCCACGACGACGTTTAATAATGCATACCGCGTTAAAAGTCGCTTGTTTATTCATAACCCTCGCGAACCTCGCCGGCCCTCGGAAGCTTCCCCCGTTGTCGGCGGGCTTAAGCTTTCCCGGCCGCGCCTTAAGGTGACGTCGAATCCATCGGAGGATTTCCTGGGATTTTGCCATTACGCTTAATCTCGTGTCGAAGAGGTCGGCGAATTTTTCCCAACCTTTGAGCGATCTTCGTAGCGTTTCTCGAAGGGCAAGGAAAATCACCGGAGGGGGGGATTCGTCTAAACGTTACTTCATATCATCCAATGTCGTTTAATATTAATTTCTTTTTAAAGGAGAGACAAATTTTTGAAAGGAACCTCGCCGTGAATTTATTCTATCTTAGTGATTAATTTGAAATACAAGCTTGGTTTAACGCGTTCCATGCACTTGCCTCGATTTTCGAGCGGAAGGTAGGGGAAAGGGGGTCTCCAGAAAAATTCTGCCGTCGTTTTTCATTCATCATCCATGGGTCCCTCGTCGAACTTCAATTCGTGGGCCGTCTTCTTCATGTGCATGAGAAACTCGAATCCTGTCATACACTTCCCCGTGTCCTTGGGACCTGGAATCATGAAATCATGGTTACCTTCGGATTTAGTAGTAACGATATCACGAATCATAACGTAACGCTGCGAATTTTTAGCCCTTTTAATTCTTGCCTGGGATTATTTTCACTACTTGTTCCGTTTTCTCTTTTTTTCTTTGTTTAGCTTTTTACGCTCGCTTACCCTCGTCTATGAATTCCTTCACTTTGTTCAAGAACTCTTCTCTCTTCTCCGGGAACTTCTCTATTATCTGTTCGGCATGTTCCATGATCTTCTCCTTGTTCAATTCGCCATTTTCTATCTGCAACACATCGTATAGTTTAAGTGCCCCATTTTCTACCCTAACCATGTCTTGCAACTTTTCCCGTCGAATTGTCAAATGTCAAGTATGTCTGGTGGCAACACGCGAGGTCGATCAAGGGGATGCAAGGGTGGAAGGGTGCATCGGCGATGCACCTTGCATTACGTGTCGGCATTGCAAGGGAGAATTAGTACATGCGTCCAGACATGTTTGACTTTCGCTCGACTTGTCATTAGACCCATTGTTGCCTGGCTTAGGCATGCTCGAAATCGATCGATCGAATGATTCTACATACGTTCGACGGACTCGAAGCCGATTGGGAAAAATGCGGCTTTGCGGTTTAGGGTTCTTCCCAAACGGTTTAATTCATTTTTAATTCTCTCGGTTATTAAAAAATGTAACGCTCACCAAGCCCTGCTTCTCCAATATGCACTCCGAGAAGCAGGCGACCTTCTCTTGGTCCACCTGTTCCTCCTTCATCTTCTTGAAATCCTCTGGAAACAGAAGTGCCCATGTTTAACGTATGCTCGAAAAGTTCATGTTTAATTCCGATATAATTCATATCCCTCTCTATAACCGGGACGTCCCGAAAAATTACCTTTCGCTATGCCCATTTCCTGGCTGCAGGTTTCAATGGCCTCCTTTATGGCCTTCTTCATCTCCTCGTTGCACGCCACCACCTGGAACCATTTTTTTTTTTTATATTTATAAAACGTATAGCACTTCTCACCGATTATTTTTTAATTTTTTTTGGGGGGAGCGACATGATACGCAATTGTCTTTGAATATGGTCTTACCGCGACCGCGAGGAAGGCGCATGCTAGGACGAGGAAGTACTTCATCTCGAGAGGCGAATTCTTCTTCTTCGAGGTGGAGACGACGGGAATTATTTTTTAACACTGGCTGTCCGTCACGGCTCGTGTCGTATTTATATCCTGTCGCATTCTCACGCCGACAGCTCGACTCATCCAGTCCCGGCACGACAGGAAGCGAGCCTCCCGGATAATCGGTCGCAGATCGATATCTGTTGGTTTACGTAAGTCAGTTCGACGGTGATTAGGGAAAAATCGCACCTGAAGCGAGGCCCCGAGATACGCGATCGACACGTCGGGATCTGGATCGCGAGTCGTCGTTTTACGGAGGTCAACCCTGCCGAGATTGACCAGGGTCAAGATCGGGATCGAGCGCCGCACCTTCCCTTAAAGATACCCTGAATCGCAGGGGGTGCGATAAGATAATCTGATAATACCATTTCCCTTCCGGCGCGTCTCTTATGCAACTCGAGATCTCAATAAGATTTTTATGATTTCTCTAAAACATCGTAAATGTCCCAAATGGCGCTCCTCGTTATTTCTTATCACCGTAGTAATTATCTTGCCATTCTAATTGTTATATTTTTTTTCCCCTCCGATCATTTGCGAGATTTGCGTGCACGCGGTACTCGGATAGGAAAATTAAGAATTTATGAATTGTCGGATTTTTTTTTTAAGATTTCTGTTTCTTTTTTTTTTTCAATAAAAATGACGAGATGTAACGAGGAGATAGGATCTCTTCCTCAACGAAGGACGGGGATTAAGGAGAAGGGGAACCACGGCGCAATTGCTCTTCGCGGAATCCCATTATTTCGACGACGCGGACGTGACACTCCCGAAGGACGATCGGAAACGATTTTTCGGTCTTCTGGGCGAGGGGAGAGGAAAATCGCGAGGGACGCGTCTCGAGTCGCCCCGTTTGATCCCTGGGGCCCTGAACCCTGAAGGGGTCGATTTCAGTTACATAAACGCCGGGCAGTGGTTTATTCTTCCTGGGGTACTATTTGCACGTCTTGAGCGCAGTTGTGCAACGACTCGAGGACGATTCGTTGATTCGCCTTGATTACTTCAATGACTCGGCCGCGATCGCTCGCTTCGCTCTAGGAGTCGAAAGAGACCGCACTTTCCGCCTCGTAAAATATTCCCCCGATTTTTAACGATCTTTCATGATTTTTAATATCTGTGATAAGAGCCGATCAAGCGCTTAACGGAATTTATCCCGAAGTACTACGAAAAAAAATTATTATAAGGCAGGCGAGGTGGCATTCCGCGGATCCTCGAATGTGCAATTTGTTTAGAACTCTCCGCGGGATCTTATGCGTCGCTAGCCAAGGAATATGAGGGTCATTTCCGCGGCGTAATTGCCGCGACACGTAATCGCTTATCAAGATTCGGAAAAGACGAGCGATCATTTTTCGAAACGATGCCGATCGCGATTATGTAAAGGGGCATCCTTATATACACCGGGAACGAGATCGTGGGCTTTATTTAATGTACAGCGGGTAGAGAGGATGTTTTCAACGCGGGATTTTTTCCGCGGTTTTTTTTTTAATTAGGAAAAGGTACATGAATATACGCGGAAGAAGGCTCTCCATTTCGGGTTGGTTTCCATGCGCACCGTTGCATGGCGAACGGGGCTCGGTAAAAGTGCGAAAGTGTCGGGGGAGCTGCACCTCGTCGTACCCGGCATACCTGGCCATTCGATTCGTCCTAATTGCTCCGAGGAGTGCCACTCGACGACGCTTTCTTCCTCCCCAGAGGAAGTCGTTTTCCTCGCGAGCGCCCCGGGTCAACCGAACGCGACCATTGCGTCGAACGCACCGAATCGATCATTTCTAATTATCGGTGCATCGTCCGATCGATCAATTTTTTCAAGGATTAAAAAAAATCGGGGATTTCAAGGGTTTTCAAGAATTTAAAGAAATTCTGCCGGGCGAGTTTTTTTTTCTTTTTTTTTTTTATTCAGTTTGGAGGAAAGGAGGCTCCTTCGAGGATGCACCTGTAGAGGGGCTGGCAATCGATTCGGGCTCGGGAGCTTTATTGCCTCGAATCCCATCGGGCTTCCGGGATAGACGTGGAGTTCCCACAGGACCCCGGGAAGCTCTCCTGCACCTGTTCTACGTCCTATCGGAAGTTCACGACCGCGACGGGGTTCCTGCTTCTGGGGGAGATCCCCTACTGGGATGCGTTTGCGAAGGTGTTATGCAAAGCACGTGACACTGCGTCCTCCTCCTCGCCGAGTTTGTCGGCAGGATAAGCTCCGAATCCGCTAGGTGTCCTTTCGCTCATTTTCCGTGATCCTCGAAAAGCCTACCTGCTCTCCAGAAAATTCCCGGAAAATTCCTAGAGCTCGTCATCTTAAGGGATCGGGCACAACTGCGGGTTAAAGGGAAAAAATGAGAAACAAATGTCCGATCGCTGATTACGACGGTTCTGTTATCCGAGGTGTCCTGATTTTACCTCCTTGATGGTCGAGAAGCAACATTGCGCGGTCTGCCAGGCTGCCTCGCAGATATCCTCGCTGGATGCTAAAATGAATCGGTCGAAATGTAGGGAAATTTAAGGGCGTTAAAATCGATATCGCGCATATCTGCATCTAGTCGTCGATGATCCCAGGAGTTACCTTTCGCGAAGCAGTCGTTGACCATTGCGGTCAGCGGTTTGATCTCGTCATCGACGGCCAGTAGGGCGACTTGCCGATGCACCTCCTCTGGGTCCAATTTGTTGTGCTTTATCTGTAGGCGAGAACGTAGAATTCGTCGTTGTCGGTGATCGGGAGAATTAATTTATGAAAAGAAAAACCCTCGGGGTGAAATTCGCGTTTCCGTATTTCTCAGGAGTTGAGTTCGCACTCACCGCCTTCATTTTTTCCAAGGCGCACTTGTAGTAGCACTGGAAGGTATGACCCTGCGAGAAGTCACCATTTTCCACCGCTCGTACTGCCGCTGATTTAAAGGAACGTTTTAATTCCGGAATTTGCCCAGAATTTCCTTTTTATTATTTTTCTTTCCTTTATTTAATCCTTACCTTCCGTCGTTCCCACTTTCCTGATGCAGCTTTTACGGAAGGGCACCGCCGTGGTTCGGAGTTGCGCCACGGTTAATCTCTTTTGAAAGAGGATCGATTAGATCGAATAATCGATCTGTGGGTTATTTATGATTGAACTGGAACGACTTCGATTCGATACTCACGCTTTCGGCGATCTCGGGGCTGACCAGGAACACTGACATAAGCACCAGCGAGGGCATGAACGCGTTTTGAGATCTCATCCTGCTCTTCTGGGTACGCACTTCTTAGTTTAAATTTTATTTTTAATTTGTTCCTCCGGTATAATATATTCTCCCATCCACCTGGCACTCGGCGATTCGTTCCGCGACAATGTTCTTCCCGAAATGATCGTTCCTCTTATAGACGATCCCCCGATTAATGAGTAACGTGTACCGCGACTTCCTAATTGCAGGGCAATCAGTCCTGAATTATCGGATCGGTCGCAATTGGCGAACGAAAAACTGGCAATTTTCCTTTTTCCTTCGTAAATATACGATCCGTGGGATTATATAACTGTGGACATTGAAAATCCGAGCTCTAGATAAACGCCGGTTTGTATGAAACGTCAGTTCGAGGCGAATTTTATTTTCGATTTTTCACACTTAGAAATTTTTTTTGGAATGCCCCCAGTATTCAATTAGCCCCGGAGATATGATTGGGTGATTTTAGACATTGTAGATTCGTTTGGGAAGGGATTCTCCTTTTTTTACATTTTTTTTGCCTGTTCTCGTCGGTTGGAGGTAAAGGTCGCGAATTAGTCCACCTCCGGGAGGCGTGTCGGGACGTCTTCGGGTTCCGGTGTCTTCCTACGTACTCTCATCAATGGCGCGCCTTAATTGTCGGCAATGTCATCGCTACATTACGCAAGATCGCTCGCACGCCGCGTGACGCTCCGCGGAAAAGGAAATCGAGGCTTCTTTAAGGAAACGGAAAGGACAAATAGCACGTCTAGGCTGGGAGCTCGACAAATGGCGACCTAACGTCTTCCATGTTTATTCTTTCTTCTGCCTCCTCGTTTTTTACTTTCGCCTCCGTTCGCTCTTACTCTTGCCCCGAGAGGTACAGGAGCTTAGAAGCTCTCGGTTACTCGAAGTACTATTTCTTTTGCTCCCCCACGAAATCACCCCTTTGCTCGCCTTCTCCGTAATTCCCCGCGTATCTTGCCCTCTGAACTCCGAAACGCAAATTGTCTCGGTGCTTGTTTCTAATCGCACGTAAGCCTCGCACTTCGTCCTCGAGCTGGAGCAAAGGGCCTCTTCGGGGTCTTCTTCAGGGGAAGAAAAAGTTGGCCGGGTCGATGTCCCAGGTGCACTTCAGGAACCGGAATGCCGTCACGCAGGCGTCTTCGGCCTCGGCTGGGAAAAGAAAAGAGATTTTGGAAAATTCTGACCACCCGATAAAGATTGAAATCCGGAGAATGTTCCATCGAGGATTTAAATCGGATTTCAATCCTTCCAGGTGATACCGCAGAATTAATTGGGTACTCATCCTTCGAGGACGAGGAGGGAACGAAATCTTCCCGACTCTATTTTAATGAGATATTATCATTTCGTCGAGTTATTAATTTTGCACTCACGGGTCCCCGCACAGGTGTGGATCACTTGCTTCATCGCGTCTTGTCGTTCGACTGGCATCATTATCTCGACCTGCTTGACCAGCATGTCGGCGTCTACTTTGTTGCCTCGCATCTTTATGGGGATAAAAAAATATCGCGTTTAATTAACTCTGAATTTTTATTCACCTCTTCGATTCGTACTCACCGTACGGAGTAAATTCATGACGCATTTTATGTAGCACTGCAGATTCCTGTCCTCAGGAAATTCGCCCTTAGACATGCCGTCCAGGAGGGCTGTTCGGGGAGTCTCGTTACTCGAAAATGTCCACCTCGTGATATTAAAAAGAAATGGAATTTAATATTTTATTATCTCACCGGTGTCCACGCTGATTTTCCCCTGGCAGGTCCTCCGGAACCCCTTGGCAGCCGTTTGCATTTGCTCGGTGGTCATCGCCTGTAAGGTTCACTTGCAAATTGCAATTCTTTACGTTTAATGCTTTCCTCGATGCCACTTACGCCGTTCGTTTGGTCAATGGCGAGGAGAAGCAGGAACAAGGTCGATAGCAGCAGGGGAGTCTTCGACATCCTCTTCGGGGTGCGCTTTTCGGAAGGATCGTTCATGGTCCCTTTTCGGACTCCTTCGGTGGCAGGCAAAAATCGATTCATCGAGTTTCGTTACTTCTAGGCCGCGATACTGATTCCTCGCAGGCCGGTCCTGTCTTATATACTCTCGTTAGTCTCCCAATTAGCCAACTTCGAGCACTACACTTTGTGGCAGGTGATTCCAGCCATCGCCTGGAAATTCATGCTCTTCGGGTATAACGTGACAATCCCCGACTTGCGCAACCACGGATAATCGGAAATGACCGGTCACTCGTCGAATTACGCTCCCGATTACTGTGATCGGGCAGCGATCTCGGCCGAAAGATGCGATTAAAGGCTGGCCCGAGATCGCTGAATTACTCCCACGGGACATTGATTGATCCCGATGAGACGATACAATGGAGCCCCGCTATCGTTAAAAAAGGAGCACCGGGAAATAATACGGACTCCTTAATGTCTTCCGGCCGCTCTGATATTATTGCTTCGTAATAAAATAAGGGAACCGCGACAAATTTATACGTGGCAATAACGGGAACCACGGGGATGAATTAAAGGGCGGAGGGTGGTTTTATGTCTCCTGAAATTGCGACCTTTCGACGTCGAGATTGGAACGAGGAGCTTTTTCACCCACTTCGGGCAATTTCATTTTTATTTCCGTTTGTATGAAATTCTCGCATTTTCATTATTTTTTCTTTCTTTGTTGTATCGGGGAGTTTGGTCTTGTCTCGTTTTTGAAATATGAATATTATTGCGTATTTTCTTTTTATCGATTAATATCCCGAGTCGAGGTATTTCGTTCGACCTCTAGGAACGGCAACGTCGAATCTCCTGGCTTGACGAAGACGAGACAATCGCGCCGGAAACGGATGATAAGAGTTCCCGTCTCCTGTTCCCTTATCCTGCCTCGGCGTTTCCTGGATGGGCACTTTTCCTGTAGACGGGAGAGATGGACCTTTCGAAGCAAACCGGAGAATAATTCCCATGGTTTAAAACCTCTCCCAGGGCGATCGGGGCCGTGATTTTGTTACCGGAAAAATCAATAAATAAATAGGAATGGATAATAGAAGCAAGGCGAGTCGATGGAACTTCCGCTCCGGGACGGAGGAAACGCGACGGGGGAAACCAGTCAGGAGGTTCCGGACTGGTTTCGAATTATTAATAAACGTTTCGGGCGCCTCTCCGCGCCGGCACGCTCGGCGTGCACACGCTCTCGCGTGGCACCACGTGCATGCGTGCACGCGTGTCGTCCCTAATGACCTGTATATTTTGCCAGGGTGATTCACCATCGGTCCCCGAACTTCCCGACTTTTGGCCAGGCAAAAGCTTTCGAGAAGCTGGACCAACGCGAACCTTTGACCGATTGCCAACGAGTGCGAACTAATTCCACGTTGACTGTAGAAAAGGCGGATCTATTTCGGAAAGAATTTTTTGCGCCGTTTTGAAAGATAGAAAAAAATTCCTTACTTATAGTCGTGCATTTTATTAGTCTTTTCGTTAATTAGCGGAACGTTGATTTTATGAAAAGGAGTGGTTCCCTTATCTTAAGGAATTAACGTGGCTCTTTATCTCGGTAAGTGACGGATCGTTTGAAATTTTTTCAACGATTTAATCAGTCCCTTCGATACGGTCAGAGACGAGATTCGTCATTTCTCGAGCCAATCGCTACCTCGGGTTTATCAATGAAGGCCCCAGCGGGTGCGTACGCGCTCTTTGATTGGTTCGGCGGCTCGTCGGTCGCGTTAATTGTGCGTAACACCGTACGCGTTGCTCTAGTATCTCCCCGGAGCTCGGCGAGTTCGGATTACTCATCGCTTTGTCGCGTATCTCGTGCGCGTTTAGCTGGGTGTTTGGGTCGCGAATGTTTTGAATATCTCTGTCGGCTCTCGTATTAAAAAAAACAAGTAAACAGTCGCGGTTATCGATTCTTCTAGTCTCGGGATACGGCGACGCCGCGACGAGTTTGTCGGAAAACTCGAAGTGCGCTCTTTGTGCGTTCCCGCGCCGAGTACTTGATGCAATGTCCCTCCGGATCGCGCAATGCGCCGAAACGCGCGACTCGTCGAAACTTTCTCCCCTTTGGGAAGTCCGGAAAGAGTTTCGCAAAGCCGGGAAAAAGGGGGGCCGGAAATGAAGTGGAGTCGCCGTTTCCTTTGAGCGGCCCTCGGCGAGGCGGCACCGCAAAAAGGGAGGAGGAAAGGCGGAAAAAATATCGCGAGCGCGATTTCTTTCGATCCTTCTTCATTTTTTCGTCTTCTTTTTTCTCGGAAAGTAAATACTCCTAGGGGGTCGTGCCCACGCAGCTCTCGCCCCGGTAATTTCCTTGTCAACCGGGGAATTGCGTCCTCCCTTTTTTTCTCTCGCCGACCGAGTTATGGAGCCCATTTACCATTTTCGCGAGGCGACGGGTTCATTCGGCTTGCCGGGACGAAAACTTTTGTATTCCTCCGTGCGTATCCATCAGTCGAGTCAAACGAGCTCGACGGAACGTGGGCGACACTTTTTTTCCCTTTTTCTCCCTCGCTGGAAATGTATTCCCTTCGCTCTGTCCATCATTTTCCATATACTCTTACTACTCCACCAAATGATTTCCTTGCAGCAACTCAATTAATTTCCCTCCCCGATATTTCTCGTCGACATTTTTCTTTCGCAAATTTGTGTAACATTTCCGTCAACCTGCACCTCCTCTGCAGAGGATTCCCATGAAAGGGAGGCAGCCCTTCCGAGTATGTCCGCCATTGGATTTTAAGGCGACGTTTCACTTCCGCGGATTATCGAAGCGACCAGAGGAGGGAGAGAGACGGAAGGGGGAGCCAAGAAAAAGAGGACAGGGTCTCGGGAAAAAAAGCATGCTGCTTTCGTCTCTCTCGTCCGCGCATTCGTGCGAGTGGCTCTCCCGGGGATTTCTCGTCGGTGGGCGAACTCTCTCTCCAAAGTGTATTTCCTCCTTTTCCTCCTTCTTCCCCTCTCTTCCACCCACTTCCCGAGACGAATAGTCTCATCGTGGAAATTGACATTGTGAATTCCTTTTCCCTCCGACCAACTTGTAGCCCTGTAGTTGAAATCGCCCAATATGGCCGTCTATGGGCGTACTTCCCTCTTTCGGGAAAGTGGCGAGTGGCCCTCTGCAGCTTATTTTCCCTTTCATGGCCACTTCTCGGCCTTTCCCGGACGCCGGGAAATATCAAGGTATGTTCAGAGGAAAAATGAAATTAGCGAATTTTTGGAATTTATTCTTTTCCCTTTGGCTCCACGGGTAACTTGGAAATTTTCCTTGCGATGCCGATGAAAAATTCCAAGGTATCCTCGGGGTGCCACTCGGGGCGTCGTAACCATTCGTTTGCGACTTGTAAATCCGAAATCGGGGGTCGTTTAACGAGGATTCCAAGGACCCTCTCAAGTTGGGTCGTTATTGGCCCGGCACTCCTCTCCCTTTGTGCCCCCGAAATCCCCGGGCAAATTTACGGTTTCCGCGTGAAATTCATACCCAGTGTACACGCGTAAAGAAATATATGTACGCGGATGTATACGTATACACGCATATATCTCGCGTCTATTTATGCACGCGTAGCGCGTGATGTCGCATTAATTCCCGGGGATGCTAATTTCTCCCGGGGGAGGGACGACCTCCGTCGAATCGTTCCTGCGGTTACGATGGAATCAAGGGAGTCATGCGCTGGTCAAAAATATGATTTATGCGCATTGCCTGGCCTACGTATACGTGAAGTCATGTATGCAAAGCCGTGCCTACACGCCCCTCCACGTTCTTACCCCTTCACCGTCGAGTCTCTCTTTTATTGCCTTCGTTACGCCCGGCTTTCATCTTCCGTTCTCGCTTCCGCTGCGCCGCGGCTACTCGGGAAGCATGGAAATTGAAATTCAACTAAAATCCAAGAATTCGCTCACCTGGACTTTTATTTATTTTTCCTTTGGGCCGGGAAAACTAATTTATTCCTATTTTCTTTTTAAATAATTCCCGGACAATTTCTCCCTCCGGGAAATTAATACCGTGGGTGCAGGGGCGTGCATACTCGCGCTTATCTCCCGGATGCGTCCTTTTATTCCGTCATATTGCATTATATTGCATTATATTGCATTCGTTATCGGGATCCCGCCCTTTGGATGTATTTTCGGCGGCGCGGCCGCTTTGACTCCCAAATTTGGACGCGTCGACGTGGAAGGCACGTCCGGGGGTTGCGGTATGACTAACCCTGGTTCCACCCTCGAAGCCCTCGAGGACCACCCTCGGCTTTCTCTCTCTAAACCTACAAATTCACTTTTCCACGCAAGAAACTCCATTGCGCGGGAATACGTGTCTCAATTTCGCCGCGGTCCACGGGGGGTCGGGGGTGGCCACCCTCTGGAGGTTGTTAGGCGGTAACGGGCTTAACCGTACTTCCGATTAAAGTTCACCCCACCGCACGATCCGGCCTCGGAATTCAACCCCTTCGAGCGGTATACTTGGATTGCGGGAGGGTCGCTCGATTTTCTTCCTGAGATACTTGGGATAATTTTTTCGATTTTTTTGGTGACCGACAAGTCGTCGTTGAGAACTTTAGAATTTTTTTTTGGGAGTAGCGGACAGGTCAGGGGGACGTCACCCAGGCGGGAGACACCTTGTTAAGGGAGAATGCGAGATTTTCCACTTCCGGGGACGGGGGGTATCCTGGACTACCCTTAACGAGAGTTCCGGTGGGGGTTTGTTCGGGGGCCGGAGAGGAAAGAAAGAAGCACGGGTCATTATTCCCGTAACCGTGCGCTTAATACCCCGACTCGCGGATTCCGCCCCCGGGACCGAAGGGCCTCCAGTAAATTCAATCCACCCCCGCGTACAGGGGCGGTCACGAGAAATACGTCCCCTGCACGGGAGCTAAGGGATGGTAACCCCGATACGCCGCGGGCCGGTTCTCGCGCGATTCATCATCTGCGTTCCCTGCGAATTTCGGAGCCGCGCACCGAGGAAATAGGGGTGGAGTCGAGGGGTGCCTCGATAGTGGATTTTCTCGAGCTGATAAAAGCATCGCGAGGACGCCTGCGATTTCCATCCTACGTGAGATTCAGGGGGCGAGGTAGACCGAAAAGTTCAAGACTCACCCCCTTGGAATTCGGAAAACCTCGAGCAACCCCGGGTCATGTTAAATCGTTACGTCCTCCTCGTCTCCCCGTTCTTCGCCCCCCAAAAACCGGAGGCCACTTGTTCCGAACACGTCGGAGCATTTAATATTTAATAAGGTCCTCGAGCCTCTCGGGGAGAATTTCCCAGCGGAAGTTCGCCTAAACGGCCATTGTCGCGGGGGCTGCTTTTCCACCCCTTCCCGCGGGGTCGGCGGTTCCGTCCCCCTGTCTTCTTCTTTTTCTGTTTTTTTTTTCTCTTTTTCTTTCCCAGCCCACCGAGAGTCACTTTCCCGTTTCCCGCGGATTGCCCGTGTTCTTCCTGCGCCCATTATTATCCCGCGGCCATTGTTCCCCGGGAACGCGACTTCCTGTTCGCCATTAGAGCGCGCGTGTGCCTTCTCTCGGCTTCGCTCCTCTCCGCCAGTCGCGGGAAGGACGCGGCCTCGAAACCTCTTCCCTTGGTCTTAACCTACGAGTTTTCATTTACTAAAAACCAGTACGCTGCCGGTAAACCCGAATTACTCCGTCCCCTCGATCCCCGCGCGGTTGGTACGGAAAAATCGAGAGTGATCTTAAATAAATTCTTCACGAGTGATTCTAAATATATTTTCGTTGGTTTAAAAAAGTGCGCAGGGACTTCAAGATTCGTAAAAATGGTAATCGCTCGAAAGTAATTCCGGCTCTTTGAAGTTAAAGCGAAGGTTTCCCAGGGCTTCCTGGCCCGCTACGTTTTGGCGCGCGATTATCGGGGAAATTGCTGGGAAAATTATCGGGGAAACGATCGAAGGAGAGGGGACGATTCGGTAATCGAGTAATTGGGTAAGACCTCGTCGCTTTGAGGCACCCCGGGTTATCAGGGGGATGGCACTTTGCCGCTATCACGGGGCATTTTCTTTACAGGTGACGCCGATGGCCGGCGACGTGTCGTCCGTGAGGTGAACCGAGAGACGAGGAGTCGATTATGAGAGGATGACGTCCCTGATTCACCGGGACTTCGGGTCCCCCAGGAAGAGGGAATCGATCGGTAGCAACGCCTCGAGTTACTTGCTGGTAAGTCGCCTCGATGCTTTTTGCGGCCTCGGGTTCGCCATTAACGGCGCAAAATTGGTTTACGTGGATCGCCGCGAAATTCCCCTCGATGGCTGATAAGGGATGCGCCATAAATAGGGACATTGAATATTAAACGTCAAAATTCGCGACCAACAATTTTTCTCCCGGCAAAGGGTAACGCGTGATTTTTTTAATTAATCTCGAGGTGGGGAATTAATTTTTCTCCGGTGCACGGGAATAAAAAAATGCACCCGAATAAAGACGAGATTTATCATCCCCTGTACATGTCGCATCCTTGGGACTCGTTAAGAGGGAGAGAAGGCTCGGAGGAACTCGGGGTGTAGGAGATCTGAGGGATGTAAAGGAGATGTAAAAGACAGAGCGGGCTCCCGTCTTCCTACCCCTCGTGGTATTCGAAAACTTTCCACCCCCCGGTGCTGCACTTTATTATTATCACCGCCCCCGTGGCTTTGATTATCGGAGCGTGCGCGAATCGCCCGGACTCGGTGCAGTTTCGTGCTCCCTCCACTCGTCGCGGTCCTTGCCAATTTATCCCGCTTTTCACCGGGCAATGCAAATTGCTTTATTCCTTCCGCCTCGGCAAAAAAACTCGGTTTTTGTTCGCGCTCGCTCGAGGTGCACGTTAACCCACACGAGGGAATTACTTTTGCCAAGGAGCACTCGCAGCCGCGGTTCGTATACATTGCTCCCATTTATTGGATTTTGGGTCGCACCGGGTGCAGCCCTCGTTCCTCCCAAGAAACGAGGTTCTAAATGCTAGAAAAAATTTTTTGAAGGCAAAGGTTAAGACCTGCGAACGCTCCCGGCATTTATGGGAACGCGAGATTTAACGGGGAGCCTGGAATAAATATGAACTCCGGGATAGGAACTCGCGGGAGGTGCAGTCTTCATTACCCTCGGGAAACAGGAGGCGAAACATCCTCTCCGAGTCGGGATTAATGTACCGTGCTGGGCTAACTCTCATTTCCGGGGTTGTCGGGGCGCCTGGCGTTTTCGAAAACGTGATTCATGGCCGTACGTATAATGCCGGAGAGTTTCGCGAGGCCCCGTCGTCCTGGAGAACGGTCTGCCCCTTGTCCCTTGGAGAACTTCCGGTGCCCCCCGCTGCGAAACTTCCCTGACGATCGATTTCCGACCCTTTGGCCTCGCCAACCCTTTGGTCCCTGCCCGGGCTCTCGAATTTCGTAAATTAAACGCCCAGGGAGCTTTTTTAACTTACTTCGGCGCGACCGCTTTCGCTAATTCGTCACGACCTTAAGGGCCGGTCGCGGTAAATTCTCTCGTCACTTTCCAATCGACCTAAAACGTCGGTAAATTATTCTCCCGTGCTCGCGGAAGGTTAGCACGGTGCTAAAAGTCCTCCCGGCAGATGTACGACGCCTCTGGGTGGAGTTAAGGTTAAGTTGCCGCGCGATTTTCGGCTTTCCTCCGGATAGCGGCGGTGCGGCTTTAAAGGCGGCCCTTTATCTTAAAGAGAACGTGCCGGCGATATCATTGGCCGGATGAGCCGAGAAGGCGAAACTTCTAAAATCATCCCTTGAGACGATAAATTAAGGTTACACATTTTATTTAAATCGGAAGCGGGGGGAGGGGTCGTTAGACGCGATTCCTTGTTCCGAGGGGTTGCATCCGCTTCCGTGATTGCGTTTATGCAATCCGGAAAAGCAGAGATCTCCTCTCTACCGCGAGATAACTCTCGCGGAGAGGCGAGAGAGGATGCTCCTGTCGGATGCTGCCTACCCGGCAGCTTCCTCCGAGTTTGCTGGAAGAAGCATCTGTCTGGCGGAATCGGAAATGAGAATGGAAATCGGCGGGGAGGAATTCTCTCTTTTCCCTTAGATACGCCTCCACCTTTTCGTTCCTGGCGACGAGGGGGACGAATCTCCTTCCCTCCTCTCTCTCTCTCTCCGCTTTACGTAAATGTGCATAAGACCGCATTAAAAATTGAACGGTAAGCGGGAATTGATCAAACCCAATTTGCATGTCGAGAGGATTCTCCAAAGTGCGTTTAGATGAGCCGACGTCGACGGTATCGATCTTCATCCGGAGAATGCATTTTTTTGCCAGTTATTTTTTTTTTTTATTCCGTTTCCTCCGGTTAAAAGTGCGGATTTCGCGGTTTCGAGAGGTTGGCGGCAAATTAAGGCGGAAATCGCCCCGACCTGGCTCTCGGGCTTCTCGGCTCGTTCCCAGGCTGTCGTCGCGGAAACCGAGACTACCGGATGTCTGCGAGCAGGCCGGAAGTGACCTTTTCGCGGAATCGCTCCTCGCATTCCTTCCCGCTTACGGGTCCTCGACTCCCTTTTTTTTTTTTATCCTGACGGTTTTGTCAATCCTTTATGCCACGTTCTCCGTCGCCATCTTATCGCCGAATTACCCGGACCGCCGTTTCATTCCACTCGATTTAATTTCTCGACTGAACTTCCCGACTCCTCTTATCGGAGCCCCGATTCAACGGCGAGGCAGCCCCTTTCCCCCTTATCACCGGGAGGGCCTAATCGATGTCGCGCGATCGATAGGTCGCTTATCGAGCCCATCACCTGCGAGGCTCGCGACATTTCGTGTTTTCCCTGGAAGTTGCTATAGCAATTGGACGCCCTGCGTATCGATTCGCTCTACGTCGAGTCCGGAAGTGAGGAGGGTACCACCTGGAAGATAAATTTCCCTCTTAGAAAATTTTTTTTAAATCTATTCTCTAACCTGGTTATCCGTCTGATTTTTTTATTTTCCTCTCTTTTTTAATAGTTATATCTCCGAACTAGGAAACCGCGTTTTTGTTGATAAGTCAGTCTTCCCTGGGAAGTCAAGCACTCCCGGCTGCACCTTTCGTTATCATCTTCCTCACATTTCCTTATCGCCGGCTTCCTCGTGTAGTACACAGGCCACGTAAGTCCCCACGCATACGCGCGCACCGAGACCCATACCAGTCGCGAGGTGCGTGTGCATTGTTCGTGCATATAGGTGCGCTTCCGATGCGTAACGCGCGGTCGCTGCACAGCTGTGGCCGTATAAGGGGTGGTTCAAAATTTCGGAGAATCGTATTCCCCGGAGGGACATATTTTAATCGACGCCCAAAGGCGAGAGATAATTAGTGAACAATTGCCCAATGAAATTTTTCCATTCCTTTATCACGGATATACCTATATCCCGCTCCGGCGATTTATTTCCCATTCCCTATCGGTCGATTTACGACACCCTGTAGATCGTTGTCTATATCGCTACGACGCCTTCCTTCCCCAAGAGCTGCCGTTTACAGTCGAGATACCGGCCCAGTGGACAAACGACTTTTGTCGGCGACGCACGTCGATCGTACACGTGGGGCCCTTGCTCGACATTATTTTTTTCATATCTCGGGACGCGGGAGATCCCGGACCCGAGTCGCCGAGAAATCCTCGTTACGGTGTAACGCCAGTTTTTAAGAAATAAATAGGAAACACCGGAGGACGTAGAATTTTTTTTCCATTTCTTAAGGGAATTGGGAGTCGGGTCGTTATCGGGTCGGTTGGGTGCTGGTGAATTTGTCGCCGAGGGGTTATTAATTTTTCTTTTTTTTTTTTTTTTCGGCGATTTCTTAGAGGCCACGTGTTGCCCTCTTGTCGGCACGGAGTCGCCATAAAGTCGGCATAGGGTGACAAACGGGCGCGTGCCGCTAATGGGAGGGAATTATTGCGAGCCTCGTTGCGTTCTCCCGTACAGAGAGTGTAATGGTCGTTGTTGCAGTCGTTAGTCCTAGGTGATAGGACCGGGTCGCTAGAGAATATCTCGCCAGTCTGGGCCAGCAACGATCGCGGAGTGTTCCCAAAGTGTTTCGTGGATAATAAAGAAAAAGTGTGGAACAGCGGTCTCGATGGTGGCTTTTTATGCGAGTGGGTGACCGCCCAGCGACGATGTCATCGGTCTCGGTCGATCGTAACCGGTGATCGATTCGGAGTTACAGGACGAACGTGAGTTCCCGAATTTGTCGTACCTTGTCCTGGACCGGGATTTTCCGAGACACCCCATACACCATGGGGCCACTATCTCGCGGCGGACCAACGGCAAGTGCTGATTGGGTCTAATCCGTTTAATTCGCGGAATGAGTTTCAGTGGACCATTTTAATTCGAGCACGCCGGCTGCTCGCCGATCTCGGCGCGACCTCCTCGAGGAGCTTTGTCCTCCGTTTCTTTTTCCATTCCCTTGTTAAAGAAAAAAAAAAAAAAATAAATAAATAAATAAAACTCCGAAAAATCTATGTGGCCCCAGGATGCGGGAATCAATCGCGGACGCGACGACCGCGACCGGGTGTGATCAGCTAAAGAGATGGTCATTTTTGAGGTCGCGATAGAAAATGTCTTTCGATATTTATTTCTCATTTCTCGAGGCACCGAAGATCGACCGAAAGAATTGCAGCTCGTTTATATGATAATATCGGGACGAAGCGGCGCCTTATCGATCCGGCGATACGCATCGGAGACGCGCTTCGTTACTTGGACGTATGATTTGGCGGGAGGTGGGGAGAGATCCCATTGAAAAAAAATTTCATTCCGGGCCCAGCGCGTGCCCAAGTAACGGGTGACCGATTCGGACCAGTCCCCAGCGATCCCGAACCAGTCCCGAGCGGGAACGTTCCGACCGGACGAGCGTTCCGCTCCGCCGCGCGCATGCGTGACTCACTATGGCCCCACACGCTCAGGCGCGTATACGTGTGATATCTCGTTAAGATAATTCGAGGGAAATTTCGGAAATCCACCGGCCTCGTTTAATTAACCAGTGGCGAGATCTCGTGACACGGAACGGGGCCTAGAAACTCCGGTAATTAATTGTCTAATTAATGGCGCCATTGGGGAGGTGGTCGATTAGGGGAGACTTGGGTGAATCTCGAGGATATCTTTTGGGGGACCTTTTGAATCGTTTATATGGGCCGAGACGGTCGGTCGAGCCGGGGGAAAAATCGGAATCGAAATCGAAATCGAAATTCGAGACCGTGGTCAGGAATCGCCGGGGCATTACCTCGCCGAGCCTTGCACACGCCTTTATCCCCGCTCGAGCGTGACGCGAAAGGATCGATCGCGGACCCCGTGGACCGCGAAACGCTCTGAATTTTTTACCCCCGACACCCGGAAGTCTGCATGCACGGGCCGTAAGTCGCGAATCGAAGCGATCGCCACTGCAGGCCCCGAATGTAAATTGAGCGCGCGAGCCCTGCATCCGAAATTGCCTGCGAATGCGTAGGTACGCACTGCGCATCCCGTGTCAAATGGTTCCTGGTGGCAGGATCCTTTTCAGGATAGAAAGTACAGGACTTGGTTAGGGATCCCTCCCTGTACCTTGTACAAACTTGAAATCCGGATTTCACGTACCCCGTTTGCTCTGAAATTTTTTCCGTTTCACATTTTCAATCTGCCCAGAATTTTCTTTTTTCCCTTATTCGGGAAATGCCTACAAGAGGGCGATGGGATTTTTCTTGGGCTCGCCGAGAGCAATTTTCCCCGGGGGGCTGATTTTGAAAATTAAACACACCGGTAACGAGGAACCAGGGGAGAGAACGCGAGTACGCGTTTTCGAAACTTCATCCGGTGTCTTCGGGAGGTTCAATATTTGACGGCCTGCCGTGCGGATTTTCCGGGCTGCGGGATGCAGGATTTTGTGTAAATATTCGGACACGCGGCCGTCGTGTGCTCGCGTACGCAGATTGGTCCGTTTACTGATTGACTAATTTGCTGATTTATAGATTTATTGATTTACCGATTTAACGTCATCGAGCACTGCAACGGCATGCTGCTCCCCGCGCGATAACTTCAATATTTTGTGCACAAGTTGGAAAATGATTAGTTATCAAAATACGTGCAATTTGTTAACGTATCTTTTCACGTGTTCTCGTATTATTTTGCAGCTCCTCAATTCCCTTGCCACGGATTTGGATTGCATGCTGAGCGAGCTCTGCACCACTCCTGAAGCATACGAGCGGTGAGTTTTTTGCCAATCACTTCATATGCAATGAAAAGGCGGCATTAGCGTAATTAATCGTCGATTAACGACGTTTGAAAAATTAAATCGATCGAAGACCTGCCTGGGGGAAGCACGGACCGATTTATTGACCCAGGTCACGTCACTTTCGATCCCTCTGTACGTAGTCCTGGGAGAAAGCGCCGGGGAAAGCGAGAGAGGTCCTGGATCCGATGATCGCCGATTCTAATCGCGATGACACCCTCGCACCTAGAGCCGGGAACGCGATTATTAATTTCCGTAATTTATCGCGGAAACGGCGCCCCGCTGCGCCATTTCCATATCGTAAGACTCGGTTGATCTATGGTGGAGTGCAATATGCGAGTACAATAACGGAGGTGCTGCACGATGTACAGTACGTGCGAAACGTCTGTATGCACGTATACGATACGCGTAGAAAAAAGAGGGGGATATTAAAATATGAATTATTAGTTGCTCAGTTTCACTTTATTATAAAATCGGAGCATCGTTTAATTTGTCCTTTTAAATTGTGTTAACACCCCCGTACACATCCGTGCACTCGGTCGTACACGCACATCGCACTTGCACCCGGGGTAGGGTTAAACCCGCAAGATTTAACGTCCTCCGCATTCATCGGAGAAGATGGACGAGGTTTCCTTGAAAGGACATTGAATTTCAATGGAAAATCGGGAATAGCTTAGGTTCCGGCGGATCCGGCGATGGGAGCGAGTGGTGGTCGAGCGCGATCAAGTCGCGCAAATTTTCGAGCCCCCTTTATAAATCGTTTGACATTAATTTCTTCTCATCGGAATACCGTAAAATCTGAGCGGGTTCGCTATTCATTTAAACGAGGTTTTTTAAATTAAAATTTTTTTAATGGCGCGATTATATTTTACGAAGGGGGTGGGTTGGCAAGGAAGGAGGGGGCGCTTCGAGATGGCCAGGGCGAGGTTGTACACCTCGTAATTGTGGTACTCAGGCAGTACCTTCGTTGGTCGTTGAATTACATTAAGGCCGACGACGAGGGCCGGAGCCTATTAGGCGCGAGAAACGACCGTCAGCTGACGACCCGGGACGATTATGCATAATATCGGCCGGCTAATTCCGGGCATGTGCCTCGAATCGGGTCATTTTCCCGGGTGTCATGCTAATTTTCCACGACCTCCTTGGTGCTTCGTCCCAGAGATGCGGCACGGTTCTCCGGTGCTTAAGACATTTTTTTTTTACTAACGATGAATATTCGAAAAAAAATATGCGGTGCACTTTTCCGCCGTTCATTTCGAAAAAGTGGAAATTTCGGGGAAGGGCGAGTGTCCCTCTTGCGAGAAGAAGGGGTGGCAGCACGAGGGGTTGCGAATTTCATAAACAAAAATATCGGGCCTGGTAAAACGTGGGATCAGGGGTGCCATCGTTTCCGTCCCTTCACCCCTCCGAAAAGCAGGGGGAATAGAAGAAATCCTGGGGAAAAAATGTAAATTTCATTTTCGTCACGGAGACACGACAAAGAGGGGTGCTCGAGGGGGTGGGTCTCCCCGGGCTGCTCCTTTATACCGAGGTTCGCGGGAAATACAAACAGGAAAATTATGTTTTGCCCCCCGGCAGGGAGGGGCGGTGAGGTAGGTCGCGCGCCCTTAATTTTCCTCTCTTAGCCTCTGGGGTGGAGGTGGCGACCATTAAAATGAGGACTCCTCCCTAGGATTTCCGCTATCCCACATTAAAGAATATTTAAATGAAACGCGTTGCGACGATAAAGGGGTTGGTCGGATCCCAATGAAAATATGTCGGGAGGAGGGGGCGAAATTACAAATCCGTCGATGAAGTTATCCCGCGACGTTGAGTGGCAAGAATTCATCCCTCACGGAGCCACCCCCTTCGGCCTCCACCCTCACTTTCTCCGACTTTGCATCTATCGATCGCTTCGAGACGCTCTCGAATCCTCCGGGGAGGACTTCGCTCCCTGGGGGGTTGGTCGATATGGTCCCGGGGTGGCTCGAGGTCGGAGATATTCCGGAAACGCCGCCCCGAAAGTATGCGCCTTCGAATTCCATTCATCCGACCATAGGCGCACTTCCATGGGAGCATTTATATCTCTACGCAAAGTTCGGGGTGCAGAAGCCATTGAGAACCACTCGAGAACTAAGACCCCCTTTGGGGGGTGGTTTTTTTCTCTCTCCCTCTCCCGAGCCTCTACAGGGAATAAATAGAGCCGCCTCTGGGCGGAAGTCTGAGAGATTCGATCGGCCCCTCCTCCACCCTGGGGGTTGCAATCCGCGAGCAACCCCTTCGAGGTCTAAAAAATTCAAGGCGAAAAATCGACTCGCCGATCTTTCCTCTGATTATTTTTTACGATTACGTTCTCGGGAAAAAGGCGGCTCGCCGAGTTTCCGGGTTCATGCTCTCATCCCTGTCGGGAGAGATTTCATCCCCCGCGCCACTGTCACTTACCCCCACGGGGCGGGGCCGCAGAATTGAAATGAAAATTCCATCGCGTTTCTCTCTGCCGCGAGGCCGACTGAATTATTATCGGTCGGTAATCTCGCGAAAAAGTTCGCCCTGAAATATTGCCAGAATCCTCCCCCCAGCCCCGCCCGTCTACTCTTTCACCACCGAAGGTCGACCCTGTCGCACCTACATCTTCCGCGGTGCCTTTTAACGCGAAATTCTCTCTTATAAAAGTTCCGCGAAAAGTTTACCGCGTTTTAGATTTAAAATATAGGCTAAAGAGGGAGGGCCTGAGTTTTCTCGATAAGTGGCGGTAAGGTCGTTTATTTAATTCGTTTGGGATCCTGGGATGGTCTCGAGGATTTTTATCATTTCCCGAGGCCCAACGCGAAGGGTGTGCAAGGGAAAAGAAAAATAATAAGGAATCATTAGATCGTGAGAAACGCGCCGGAAGGGATGTTCCGCCCTGCGATATTTCACGGTCTCTTTCTTCGGGATTCCGTTTCGTTGCCTCGAAACCTAACGCGAATCGAATGGCGTCCAGATTTTCGGCATCGCGGCCGGTGGGGGAGGAGGGGACCTTCCTTTTTCGATCAACCCCCCCTCTGGCCGGTCATTCGATTCGCATCGACGACCCCTTCGATCCGTAATTCGCAGGATCCGTGACGCGTTTTTGCCCGTCAGATTGCACCGCTTTTTGTAAATTTGTCTCTTTGATTTGCCATCATCGATACCCATCGATTCGGAGTCATTAGCCTAATCATCCCTATCGGCCTCCGGCGAGCACATAAACCGGACAGGGGTGGATTCCCCTAGGACCGATCCCCTGGCTCCCCATTGGTCGGCCACGTGCCTCCGGAATGGCGCCCTTACCTTCACCCCACTCGGCGATTTCTCGTTCATTCCTTTCGTGAATCTCGTGTTTAATTGATTACCTGGTGACGTTAATTCGAGGGGCGGAAAGTTTGCAAGACTTATACCGAAGCGTTAGTTGGAAAATTTATTAGGGAATTTTTTTAATTGCCCTTCTGTGCGCGGGGAGGAGGTATCGACTATTTTGTAGGGTCTTCCCACTTGCGATCCCGGTCCTCCGATGTCGGATATCCCCTGATTTTCGCCAACTAACGCGAGCCCGATATTTACAGAGGGGTGCTCGTCGGGCGATACACCACCCCTTGGTTCCAACCCTCCGCGGCCATGTCGTGGATCCCTTCTTCCGGCGAGCCGATATCGTTAACCGGAGACAAAGGGTGGAGGCCCCTCGGTCGAGCCTCGGCTAATTCCGTCGATAATGGATTCCGGATTTTGGATTTCGAATTTCTCCGGCAGTAGGGGAACCCTCCCTCGGGATAACTATCCTTTCGAAAGAATTCCTCGGTTCTCCTTTCCTTCCTTCCTCTCGTGGTGTTTTTTTTTATCGTCAACGCATCCTTTCGGATCGAACACCTGTCAGACTGGAATTAATAAATTTCTCGATAAGGCGTGCACTTTGCGCCATTCGAGCGACGAGGTACCTGCCGGGGGTGATATTTATATCGAAATCCACCCCTCGAATCGATACCTCCCCCCGTGATAATTAAATAACCTGTTGCAAATTATTTTTACGGAGAATTTTCATAACGACCGACCAAACCGCCCTTGATATATCTGTCAAATCTGTCAAATCTGTTGGAAAATTGAAAAGGCATTGTCATAATTTATTGTTTATTTTTGAAAGACGATTTTAGTCCCTCCGGTGATTGCGAGTATGCACGGGGGTCGGGTACGTGTACAGAATTTCCCGCGATGACCGACCGACATTCCGGGCGATAAGGACGCCGCGATAAACGCGGTATCGCGGAGAGGGACGCCGACGTGCAAGCGCGAGTCCCGTCGTTGACATCTAGTGCCGACTTGTCGAGCCGGTGGTTAATTTCTGGGAATTTCGTTGACACGCGAGTATTCTCGAGTCGAGCCTCTCGGGTGAAGGGTCCTCCTCTTCTTCGCCTGAGATACGCCGCGGGATGCTGCGATGCTCTTCTCCGCAACGAACGGGAGCCCGTGCCCGTGTTGATAAGCGATAACGCGCCCTCATCCGCATACATGCCACCGTCAGACCGGGATGTTCATCCCGGGGATCCTATCTCTAAATAAACTCCGAAGCTCTCTCTTAATTCACTTTTTAAATCATTTTTTCCCTTCCGGAATTCCGAAATATTCATTACGTTTTTGTTTCACGTTTGCTTTTATCCGAATCTCGCCGTATTCGAGATACATTTCGATAACGCGAACTTCCTCCCGTTCGGGGGGAATCGCGTGCGGAGGGATCCCCGCGGAAAACGCGGGGTGGAAGAGCATCGCGATTGCGGGCCGAAAAATGAGTTATCTTTCCGCTACCCTTCGCGCGGCATCCCTCGCGCGCCTTTTGTGGACCGAGCGATAAATCCGCTCGCGGGATAATCTCCCGAGGCCTCTTTTCTCCCGCATCCTCTCGTCTCTCTCCTCCTCCCGACGGCTGGCATGCCTCTCTCTCGCTCGCACTCGTTGCGCCGCCTATTCTCCGGGTTTCGCCCCTCACG